TTTCAAAAATTAGTCATACTATGTAAAATAGATGTTATTGTTGGTATTGTTACCTTCTATACATGGGTCATCACATCACAAACCAGTTATCTCAACAACAGCCGGGTCATTCGTCAGAAATTAAGGGGTATATGAAACAAATAACAAAGTTACTGTTCTGTCAATAAAAAACAAATAAATAGGTAACTCACCGGGGAGTTACACTTCCCCTAACCTTAGGATTCAAGGTATATCCTTCCATACGTTTCCATTACATTAATTAGCAACTGTGTATCATTCTTTCTTCAACAACTAGCTAGTGTCACCTGAAATAAGTCGAGGCTCCCCCGGACGCCAACTAGTAAGCATCCCAACTACCGGATGTGTGAGTCACACTATTATTATTATGCCACCTACTCAACACCACCCAGTATGTGTCAATCAAAGCGCATGCAAGACCCCGTACAACTTACAAGACACACTTTGAAGGAACCACAGCCATAAACACCGGGAACACGTGGCATGCCCTGGGGTTTTCAAAAACATAAACGAGTATGGCATATTACTCACAAATTCACAAATCATTAAACAACATATTCAAGCTAGCACACAGATATAATAATCGACCTTATTCGGGCGCTGGCCAGGCACCACTGTCTCAAAGAACACCCTCTTTCAGTTTCGGCATCCTGAGCTACATTTCTGTATATACTCATAAATTACATTATCTCAAGAGCACATAAATACTTGGCTGGCGCATTCCGTGTATACAGCTGAGGTTTGATTCAAAGCAACCACGATAGTTTCATTTCATAATAAAATATATATTGATTCGTATTATTACAATACTTTAAAAATAAATAAGTGTTACAACTATCACTTTCCCCATACAGGGTGTAACATAACAACCTGTCAAAAATGAAGTTTAAGAAAAACGTTACTCCTTTAAATATTTTCTGAACAAATAGAGATATTGTAACGAAATTTTGTGTGCAAAATTCATAAATAATTTTACGTGAAATAAATTTATTGTAGCACACCATTGCAAAAAAAACAACGTTCTTTGTCATTTTTGAAATGTAAACTTTATTTTGATTGATCTCTTTTGCTCCTGATATGAACTGCAATTTGTAAAGATGACGTTTAAATAAAAGGTTTACGCCACTGGTTTGAGATGAGACTTAATTTTTAACGTTGAATGCCATCGGTATGGTTTCTGAATGATCTCATTCTTCATAATAATGTTATTTCCCCGAATTAGTCTATTTTTTCAAAACCAAGAACAAATAAATCAAAATACTCTCAGGGTTACTGCATACAATAATACGTCAGTTTCAGCAAAACTACAACCTTGGAGCTAGGAGTAGTAGATATATAATAAACTCTTGAAATTTTATGAAATATTTCCCAATTAGTGCAAAGTACTGATGTCAATTCGTCTGAATGACATCACTTGACAATGTAAATATTTAAATCATGCAATCTTAGAAATAGGTATGTTTAAATATATACTATACAGTGATTATTATATGCGCAGGGTTTATCTATATTATCAATATTTACTTCCAACATAGATATAGCGTGTGTGTGATATTTTCTAAAAATATACGAAGTGATCCAATAAAAAGTAACTAATTAGATATTCAATATATGCACAATATAAATATATGCCAACGTCTAACGCTCTCTATTGAATGAATTCCAGTTCTCGATTTCTTAATAATATTGTTAACTAAGACGTGACGAAAGCCAAAAAAAAAAAGAAAAATGCATAGCGAAGTTTATGAGCGCTGATAAGAGTCAATCGGCTTCAGCGTAATCGCCGGTCATCAATTCTCGGGAGGACTTATTTTCTACATTCGGCCATCCTAAGACTTGACCTGCCGTCAGGTTACTCGGAGATTCGTTGATATCATCGTAATGAAATTAGAGATCTGTTGATCTCGCCATAATGAAGTTAGATGTCCGTTAATCTCGTCGAATTAGAGATCCGTTGATCTCATCGTGATGAACTTGGAGGTCCGTTGATCTCATCGTAATGAATTTAAAGATCCGTTGATCTCGTCGTATTAGAGATCCGTTGATCTCATCGTAATGAACTTACAGATCCGTTGATCCCATCGTATTAGAGATCCGTTGATCTCATCGTAATGAATTTAGAGATCCGTTGATCTCGTCGTATTAAAGATCCGTTGATCTCATCGTAATGAACTTAGAGATCCGTTGATCTCTCTTTAACTTGGAATGTAATTCATTTTTTTATTTGATCTGGCCGACTACCGTTTTCTTGTCTGACCTACCTATGCCTTCTCACATAACTTCGACTTCATATCGATCGTTGATAAGGACGTTGGTTATACGGAACGGCCCTTTAAACTTAGGAGCAAGGGAGGTGCCCATAGTGGCTTCAGTTGTGATACGTATCAGAACCAATTCACCTTCGGTGTAATTCATGGTTTTTCTTCTCGCTTTGTCGTATATTGTTCTTTCTTTTTTTCTCTGATCTCTGATCTTCCGTAATGTGATCTGAGATTCTGTGAAGTAGTGAATGGAGATCTAGTCGTTGTTTTTTACAAGGTTTTTAACGAAAATGAAATTATATTTGAAAATTCATTAAACATCACCGATGCCAATATCTTTGGCATAAAATGTATCACCAATTCATCGACTTCTTTAGCAATAAGACTTTCAGTTAAATCGAGTAGCATTCTTAAGGAAACAATTTCATCACGTTTTTTCCATCAGTATACAAGGTTGGTCAAGAAAATGTCTATCAACTATAAGATCATACGATTAAAACTCATCTTTCAGAACAACTCCATTTACTTCAGCTGCCGCTTCCATAATATGTATGGCGAATTTAATACGTCACTTTGTTTCCTAATTGATTTGCTAAGGACATCTTCACTAGTGTGGTAGAACATCTCGTATCGATTAAACACTGATATTTGTGCCCATTTACAAATGCCTTTTTGACATACATATTTCTATAGTTTGACTTATTTTCTACACGTGTCTCCAGATAGGTGAAATAACTTTTGCAATTGTAATTGTGAGTGCCAGCAACAGTATTTTTATCAAAATTTGCACCTATATAAATATTATTATTCTATACACAACAATTTAAACAGTCTAAAAATAATATATAGACAGAGCAAAGTGTAAATGTAGTGGTGCAATTTTCAATTGGCCTCACCATTTTTCCAATCAAGCTCGATTACCGGGATAATAATGAAAATATTTTTATTGTATAATTAAAGCTTATGAAAGTAATTATGTATCTATGTTTTTAAATGAGTTATTATTAGCAACTCTGTGGTTTCCAGTGAAAAAAACTTCTTCAAGGACACGTTTTGATTGCAGACCTCTCCTAAGTGTATCCAAGGATTTTCAAAATGACCCCTGAAAGTGATGAAAGTTAGCTTTGTTCGCACAAGACAATTTCCAACGATTGCATTTACATATGTTTGAGAACGATAAAATATATGATAATACGTATTGCGCAGGCTTCGAATTGAAATTTCTCGGCAAATTATTCTGACAGTCAGAAACCGATTTCCAACGTTTAAATATAGTACTGCGAACACCAAATTTTTAAGCAATAGTTTTCGATTTTGTTGTACGAACACTTTTAACGAAATGCGCATGCGTCGGACAGTTACTGATGGTTTCTGACTGCTCTGTGAACAAACCTAATATTTTCGAATCTAGGTTGTCATGGGCGCAGCTAGTGGGGGGGGGGGGGTTGTTCAGGGGTGTGCACGGGCCACCCCAGAAAGCTCGGTGCTCACTCCAGAAAAAAAGATTTAATATTATCATCTTTGTCATATTTTTTTTAGAACAAATCAAAACGTGTTCAAATACTGGGAAGTCGCTGATTGCGAGAACTTGGGGGGGCGGGGGTCCATAGAGCTTGCAGCCCTGGGCCCACCCCATGCAAAAATTGTAGTCACGCCCATGTAGGCCTACGACTTATTGCTTTTACTCAGATATCGCCGAAGTCCGACGCTTAATCTGAATGTGCTCTTTAACATTAACTGGTTCGGATCTGTACAGCGAACAAAGCTATTATCACAGCTTATAAACCAATACTGTTATTAGATCACAAATGAGTTTTGTAAAAAAAAACAAACGCGATTTTTTAATGAAAACCTTTTGGACGGATTAGCTCATTTAATTTTTACTAGAAATCTTACAAATTATTGGACGTAGACGGATTTCGTGATTGTGCTACCACAAAAAAAATACGTCTATATCACCCCAAACGTGTTAAATAAGAGGGGAGAGGTAGAGGGAGGAGAACGAGCGCACCTGACTAGTCACTAGTCAGTATCAACTAACCTTGGAATTTTACTTGTTTACAACTATATAGTATATAGGTAAATGTATGTTTATATTTCACAGCTCACAAAGGTTGAATAGAATTAAGAAAATTAAATTATGTAGGTATGTAGTTTAAATGTACAAATACTGATTGTATTTATAAAAACATGTTTTTCACTTTTTTTAATGAAATATAGGACTTGAGCAGACATTTTTACAAAATAAATTATTGATATAGGTAGTTTTTATAGGTATCTGTACTATAAATAGGTAGGTAGGTAAGTATACCTAATTGTTTGTTTTGATTTCAAAAAGTATATTTATGTAGAGGCTTTAAACTTGTAGGTATATAATTCATATATATGTTTTACCTTAAATAGATTTTCCAGCATTTTCTATATTTTATCGAGCTGAATGTACGTAAATTTAAACCAACTTTCTACAAATCTAAATAGACACCTAGTGCCCGTGCTCAATGTAAACAAAGCGCTCGTTCCGTTCATTAGCCTATAAAACACATATTTTACAACTTCTTTATAGTTAGACGAACTAAATTAATTGCTACATGAATTTTACAAACTCCTGTCGTAATTTCAAGGAAAACTTCGCATCTCGCTACGCTCCAGAGGAATTTACCAACAACCTAACCTATACAATCTCTAGTATTGGGGCTTTAAACATGGAAAAATACCACTTACCTTAGGTAGGATGTGGACCACACCACTTGATATCCCTGTACCTAATTTCACAAGCACGATGTGTCCATATTGTATTACGGGAAGTTGTTTTGCAACACAGTCCTTTCACTGTCAACTTAACGTAGGGCTTACTACACCTGTTCAGTTCATCACGATATAGGCGCGCGACGCTGAATCCCAACCCGCGAAACTTGCTTGGCTCGCGAGAAGTGATTACACTCAAAACGCGAATGAATAATAGATGGGTATGGGTATCCCCGCACTAGATTTGGTTGTCGTCGGACCCCAAGGACGTCCTTTTAAATCGAGCGGTAAAGACGTTACGTGGTAAATAATCAGAATAATCTTCTTTATTATATTTTACGTATTCCTACAAATAAATAATAAATACATAGTTATAATGGAACGTCACTATGATGGAGAAGATTTAACCATAACCGCTGGATTTCTTCTGAAGTTTAGGTATTCTAAATATTACCTATGATTATTTTCGGAAGATATTAATTCTGAAATTCAAAATTTGTGATCTATAAAGCGGGGTTTATACTGGTCACAAATTGTGAATGTTATTGGCAATAACATTCACAATTTGTGACCATTATTGGAAATTGAAAATACCACAAATTTGAAGTCTTTCTAGTGCACAAATTCATCGTCGATTGCTATTCATCTGAATATAATTAAAAAGGAAGTTAAATACCTACAGTAATTATTTAACATTTTTAACCTTAACCTTATACTTTCACAAAATGTAACCACACATAATAGGTATAGTTAAAATAATTTTAACTTCCAGCGGCAATACCGTGCGACAGAAAGATGGGGTAGTAAATTTATTTCCTCTCATTCAACTTAACAAATCAGAACAATTTTCGTTTTGTATAAACCCCGCGCACCGTTGACTGGGCGATTAAATTAGACCATAATTAACTCTACGAAAAGTTTTCGTCGAAAACATACATTTTTTTCTAAATTGCACGCTGTATTAATATACTCGACTCGATCCAATTTAAATTAAAGAAATTTATAAATTTTTGAAATCGTTGCAGCAAGATTTATTCATTAAAATACGCTGGCTGTATTTTAATAATTATAATAATGATTCTTTGCGACTTCCTAAATTAAAGTAGTAACAGTATTATTGATTCTATTATTAGCGTTCTTATTGTTCTTGGAAGTGTAAAACAAGGGTAGATAAGCAAGTCTGATAAAACTCTGCATTCAAGTTTTCAGTAATCACGTTTGTCTAATACAATAGTTGTACGAAATTCTCGATATTTATCAAATTTACTGAAATTCCATTATTCCAACTTTAAGGAACATATTTAATTTAACCTTATATAATTATTTACTTTCTAGAATGTCTGAAGTGGGTGGTGTTAAACATGTTCCAACTTGTGGGTGAGATATGACATGATATCAGACTTATCAGAGACAACAGAGACGCGCAACTGCATGCAAAATTTGAGTATGCAATACTTTATTCGTCCGCTGTACTGGAACGTTAGCACAGATGGCGCGCGCTCTGGTGTGAACTGATTTAAAAATGCGCGGGGTACAATTTATTAGTACTTTTATTTTTCAAATATATTTAAAAGAAAAATAAAATAACCAAGTCAAATTACATCATTTATTGATAAACAAGAAAGAAAATGTATAAAAAAAGATAATAGACAATATGGGTGGAAATTTTCAAGGTCACTTTCTCTTTTGTTGTTCATCTTTGACCTTTGGGACTTCTTTTCCCACAACGCAAATTGTGCAATTAAAAAATCCACAGCTATTCTTGACATTTCACTGAATAAGTTACGAACCACTGTGGAATCACTTAAATTGGACAAGGCCCTCAAATCACTAGCTCGTCTATTACAGATGGCCTTTAGCTTGCGAACATTCTATTAATCGCATCTTATGTGGGGTTGCATCCAGTTTTGACAGCCCTGTTATACCTCTAAATACAGAACGGCTTGATGGAGGTGGAGTTTGGGCCAATATGAGAATATCTGCATGAAAACATTATTTTTTAATTTTTCATTTTTTAAAGAAATACTTTTACCTCTGCTACATCTGACACTATGTCCCTGTATCTGGTGTACAGAATTTTGATTTTCTGGAAAATAGGCCAGAAAAGGCTTGGCACATCATGTCTTAACCACTTTGTACATAGTCGTATTGGGAATTTAATAGAAACCGAAACATTTTCTCGACCTTGTTGATTGAATACCCACAAACAAGGCACCGTGAATATATGTGTAATCTGAAAATAAATTGCAAAATGTAGCCCTTTCAGTTTGCTAAAAAATATTTGCTTACAATCGTTCGTTTCTTACTTTCTTTAGATGTCGGTGCTTCAAAATTTACAAGTCCTTAAACCCCAAATGTAAGACGCACTAACTTAAAAATCTACAGAAACAAAACAAAAAGCTGAACTACACTAAAAACACTATACAAAAACAATAGAACGAACTGATAATCTTATGTACTTGCGCGTCTCTGGGTTGTCTCTGACACATACTTCTATACATATAGTATAGAAGTATGTGGTCTCTGATGATATCTTTAATGTTGTTACTTGTTACCCAATGTACATTGGCACAAAGCATTGAGCATTGTATCTGTATTGGATGAAAGCATTGTATCTACTGGCTGAGAGTGACCTATTAATTTGGAAATACTGTGAAAGCACAACTAGTATTGTATTAGACAAGATAAACTTTTTTAGTACTGGTTTGTGCCAGTATATATTGAGTAGCAGATATTTTGTAGGTTATATGTTACTCATACTCACATGTGAGATAGACACCCAAATAACTAAGGCTCAGTATTTTGAGACTCGATCTCGGTTAAGGCTTGATTAACTAATCAGGCGATTAGACTGTACATGTACCCACTTATTTTCTAAAAATATATTCACAGTCTAGCGCCTGATTTAAAGTACCAGACCTAAATAATTCCTTGGATGTTGGATGGAGCATGTTGTCTGCAGAGTAGTTGTTTCACATAATATAAGCAGTAGTGCTGGCAACTGAAATCGGTTTTTTGGATAGTCGGTTAACCGGTTTCGGATAATTCGGATTTTTATGAAATCCGAAAACCGGTTATTCGGTTTATCGAATCTTCAAATATCCGAAAACCGGTTATTCGAATCTTCAAATATCCGATTACCGATTATTCAAATAACCGATTATTCGATGATCTACTTCCTTTTTTTTTTTAGACATCGATTTGTCCGATTGCAATTGACCGACTTCCAGATTTTTGTAGACCTTTTTTTTTTTTAGACAATTTCTCCGGGTCTGTCTTTGTAAAGCACCGATTTTTCAGGTGTCCGGTTTTGGCGATTCAAGTAACGGGTTATTGGTTTTAGCAACTATTCGACTAACCGGTTTTATCTGAAATGGGTTTTTACAGAACCCGGTTAACCGGTTTCACTTTTTTCCGGTTTTTGCCAGCACTAATAATCAGTTGTTACCTTTGAACATTTCTTAAAAGTTAAATAATTTGAATACAATTTGGAATTCATTTAAAATTTATTCCTCTAATAAATTTAAGTATTTAACTTGTGTTTATTACATGAATAACTGAATAACTCAATTTTTTTAAGAATCTAATTTCAAAATAAAACATACCTACTTTGGTAATTGATAAGTAAAAAATAATGTTAGTTGTTTATAAAAAGCTTGTTTATAATGAATTAATATCTTGCTTTAATTATTGTGAAACTAATACTTAAAAATGAAAAAATAGTCCTTACCTTTAATTAACAGTTAATTGTCTCACATTTTACCAAGTATAATGAAACATGGCAATTTTTTCAAAGAAAACTTGTATCCTGTCATTTATGAAACGTTTTTCATTTAATTTTTTTCTTTTTAAGTTAAAAAATTAACAGTTGGTTTCTTCAAACTCGCTTCAAACTATTTTTGTGCCACATTTAAAAACCACAAATTGGCTTCGATTTTATTAAAACATTTTTTCTAAGTGCAAGATTTTTTTACCATTTCTATTTGATTGGATATTTTTTCTACTGAAAAGAAAAAAATTGAGCAAATAATCCCTGAACAAATTTAAAATTTTTCCTTTTGTGTGACAAATCAGTCTGAAAATACTACAAATAAATATTGCAACAACCCCTGATGGGGATGAATTTTTTAATTTTTTTAGCACAGGCAGTAAAATATGCAAATAAATCTTTAATTGGCATTCTAACCAAGCCTGAAACTTTTTCCATTTTTTACTATACATATTTATTCTTGGAGCTACAGTAGCGGACAAAAAAAATTTCAGCTTACAAAAAAACTATTTATTTTGCTGCATCGTACTATTGTCTACAATTATTACAAAAAGTTAAATCTTACAGTCAAAACAGCTTAATATAGTTAATCGAGATAAAAGGATAACTAGCAAATAATACATACTTATTACAGAATTACAGCATTTCTATTATGAATCCTAAAAAATGCACATTTATGAAGTACCCTGGGTGAGAGGTAAACTTTCAACGATATTTATCAGTCATCGTCTGTAGGGATGGTAAGACTGGGTGGGGGCACTGTATCCGCTTCCCCTTTGGGGCCCACCTACATAGGTATCACCTGCTGCGGCTGAGTAATCACCTGTGGGAGTAGAATTATTCACTATTGAACAGTTCGGCTTCATTTTCACTGAGGATCGGCAAGGAATCAAGGAGGAATTGGGATCTGGGTTTGAATCAGACAGAACTAGAGATGAACAAATGCGAAGTTATTAGTGGCAGATTCTACGGTGCTTGAAAAATTAGTCCCAGTTTAGACAATTTTTGATAAACTGTTTGTGTAATAGCCTAGAGGTTGATAACGCAAGACTTAATTTTTTAATTATGGGTAACCTAAATGGCATTCAAATAGTAATCGTTTGTTACAGTAATCGTGAAACAATAAGAGAGTAAAATTTGCATTCAGAGTTAACGTTTACTTAAGACATTTTACAAATAAATAATTTTTAAATATATAGTTTCCTCTCTCCCAAGTAATGTGCTTTTTACAGTCAAAAATATTTTATCTTAAATAATATGACATGGAAGTATCATGACAGCACATTAAGTGTATTTATTATTTTTTTATATTTATTAACTTAAGTTAGTGGGTATATTTTGTAAGATACTTCTCTCTTTTTTTGGACTCAAGTTCACTTCACTTCACCACCGGTTCTTTATTAGATAAATCACCATAACATTTAATTTAAAAAAAGTTAATTGTTAGAACAAATTTTCAATTTTTTTAAACAAAAAATTTAATAGAACTTACTCGAAATAAAACTGTAGGGTGTAGCGTGTAGCACAATAGTATGTCAAAATTGAACAACATTAGGAATATTACCTTTTACAAATATTTGTTAAATATCTTTTGGAAAGCATTTTATTGTATGATTTTTGTCACTTGAAATCGAAGTGTATAGCAGGAACGTCATCTGAATACCTTTTGCAGAACCACTAAAATGGTAAAATTTATACATTTTAGTTGAAAATTAGATCTGCATTTCAAAAATGACAAAATATACAATATATCTAGTGGTGTTATAATTATGGACAAAAATGCAGCCGACATTCCACATATGCCACTAGTTCTCGAGATTTAATATTTTCACATCAAATACCATTTCATTAATGCATTGTTCACAATAAAATTCCTTTTAATATTTCCATTTGTTCGGAGGATACTTAGAGATATAACATTCTTTTCTGAAACTTTTTAACTCAAAACTTAATTTTTGTGAATTATTAGCTGAAAAATTCATTATTAAATGATTTCATTGTAGAAAATGAAAAGGAAACAAATTGGCTTTGTTGTAGAAAATGAATTGTAAATATTGTAATGAAATAAAATATAAAACAAGGTTAAAGAAAATCAGTTTTTGGGATCTCAAATATACAGTGTTCCTTAATATATGAATGTTTAAGGGTGTGATTCTACATGGAAAATTAATTATAGTTTGTTTTATAAACTATGGTCCAAAAATGTTCTGTTGCAAAAATATGGGATGTTAAATTTTTAGGAAAGGAAATTAATATTTTCGAAACCGCTCGATTTACTTCAAAATCTCAGAAATGTAAGTGATACATTCCAGCCCAACTAGGTTTATTGCAAAATTGTATTCTTTAATAATTATATTAATTAATTACAGACAATACAAGGGGTTTTATTTTTTTTACTCAAAAACTGCGCATCGCAGGAAAAAAACTCAAGAGAGCTCTTATCTTTCGAATTGAACGGGGATTTCAAAAATAATTTTATTTGGAAAAAACTATTGGCGTACCATTATTTTCTTTAAAAATATTAAAGTTAGTGCTCATACATACGCCACTGTTAGACCCAAAGAATTATGTTTGTATTTAAAAACTGCGCCTTTATTAACTATCGCTCAGTGGCGGCTCGTGACATTGAGAATAGATGAAGCATATTCATTGACTGACTAAAAAGAAAAAAAAAGCACTGCTGGTGAAAATTTTCAAATTTTCAAGGTCAAACGGCTTTAAATGAATCTGGAAATTTTTAGTTGCATTTACTGCATCATACATAGGAAACATTTCTACAATTATTATACAAAACAAATATTAATTAAGAACCGTTATAATCGTGCAGTGGACGACGTGTTAAAAAACTGTTAAAGGCGGGCAATGGACGATACTGCTTCAATTTCTGCGTCACTTGTTCCTCTACACCGTAGTTTAATCCCGTGTTGGCCGCGTCGTTGCCATGACAACCGCCGTAAACAACGCTACGAAGAGAAGCAAAATACAGGCTGATTTCAATCTGCATCACTTGCGTATACTATACGTTGTATGGTTGATGTTCACGCTCAACAAAGGCAATGTTTTTTTAGAAGGCGTTCGCCGCGCAACTATTCTCTTTATTTCTACTTATTAAACAAACAAACACAATACATTTTCAATGTAGAATTATACCTAAATTATATAATTTCTATAAAATTAAAAATAATTTTAAAATGCACAACCAAACGGTAATTTTAGGTGAAGCGGTGGGTCACTTAACGAGCCACCATTGCTTTCACTATGTACTAAATATCTCTGAAATATCTTAAAGAATTTAGAAAATATTAATTAATTTCCATCTTTTTCCTAAAATTTTAACACCCCGTATTTTCGCAACCGCACATTTTTGGACCATAGTTTATAAAGCAAACTATCATTCATATTCCATGTAGAATCACACCCTTAATTATTCACATATCATTAAAGAACACCCTGAACAGTGCTGCGAAGCACAATTCGATTGAAATTTCATTAAAATTCTAGATGCACTTGATCCAGCTTGTAAATGAGTTTGCTACAATTTTTTTTCTATCATAAATTTAGAATACTGATTTTTTTTATATAGACAAAATTCATAAAATTTCTGTCAGTTTAAAAACTTAGAAGTCATTTGTAATGCCTGAAGATGAAAAATTTGTCAGTTACTGAACAATAACTGTAAATAGTAAGCTGCTCCTGGGCATAAAATTATGAAAATAACTATTCTATTATTTACCAGCAAAGTTATAAACAACAGTATCAGTAATTGGCGGTTTTTCATCTTTAGACATTTCCAAGGCCTCCTAGAAATATAAATTCATAATTTTAATTTGTATGTAAAACAATTTGAGGTACTTTTAAGTGGTAATAATAATAATAACCTCTCATTCTAATCGCAAAGATTAGCCCAGAAGTTTGAGACTTGTGAGGGGGCGATATATTATTATTCAGTAGGCTGCACGTACGCCCTTGAATGACTTATGCTAAGTAAGGGGGATGGTCAAACACTGACGTATCAATTTCTCACATTGACCAGAGCCAGCATTCTTCCACCCTACCATACCCGCAGAAAGGGTGCCTAATTTCTCTCTACAAATATAGTTGATTGGTAGTGTTCATTAAGGCCGCATAACTAATTTTTAATAAAAAGTCGTTAGTGAAAATCACTTCTAAAAAAAATTGTAGCAGACAGATTACCAACTGAATCATCGTAATTGGTTCAAAAAGTACATTTCAAAGGCCACTACATATAAAAATTCATTTGAATTGCATATTCCAAAATAAATTTCAGAGGTGCCTTCGTTCTTAGTGGGCTATACTGCATATTTATCAAAACATTTTACTAAGGCTACTCTATTTTGCATTCTGAAACTCAAAAAATAATTACTCAATGTTCTGGAACAGAAATCATAAGTTTTCATTTATTCTGTACATTGTCAGTATAATCTTCAAAAGATATACAGTACGAGTCAAAATTCACTCCCCAGCCACCAAGGACAAGTTCTGCAAGATAAAAAAAATGTTTGAAGTTATATTTAAAATTTCTTCGCCGTTTCGCTCGATACGCATTTTCCAATCCAAAAGTCCACTAACAAGAAATTTATTTATATGTAAAACATTTTTTGTCCAACAGAATGCATGGCGGGCACTGAAATTTGATTCATTCTGTATATTATTAGTAAGATCAAATTGCTCGAATGTGACTACAGGAAGCCTACTGGCGAGATAAAAAACTCTACTGACTGAACGTACGGAAAAAATACGAAAACGAGAATCAGCAATTAAATACGGAATTATTGCACTACCACACACATGCCAAGAGAATGGTAAGAGGGAAAAGAGACAAGCAATTTTTCACAGATTTATATTTCTCATTATCATAAATCAGAGATAATGGTGATAGGTACATTGTTTTGTAAGTATTCTGATAAACTAAGACATCTTATAGGAGGCTAAATATATTCAAATATCAACTATCCCGTTACAAATGCACTACTAATATATTTATATATATATATATTTATATATAATTCTTAAAACAGGTCTCTGTATATATTAACAATTACTACTAAATCGACGACCTCGACAACCTTTACAATACTTTTAACAGGCTTATTGATCATGAAGATTGCTTGCAACAGGTGAAAATACATACAAATCTATGAAGCAGGTCGTACGGATCGGGCCTGAAAATCCAGCGGGTACTAAATGAGCTGTAACGGTTCCTTTTTCAAAACGTTTATTTCAGTTTCCGACAGTTTTTTTTTTTAGTCGTTCACGAAAACAAATGTTTTGAAAGGGGCAACTTTGCAGTTCGTCGTTGGCTGGACATTTCTAGGCCGCTTCCGAACGGTGGTAGAGGATAACATTAGTCGACGTAAAGGAATGAGGAAGTTAAAGGAGGGACAAGTTATGTGATTATAACGTTTACTTAATATTAAATAACACGTTTGTCAATTAACTATCAGACTTAAGAATTAGAAAACAATTTTACACACTTACAGGTCACACTCATATATTAATTATACAATTCTTTAATTAGAGCATTATCGGTAGACATAGGATTTCTTATAGTTAAACGTAATACAAAATAATATCTTTTGAGCAACAAATACTTTATAAAAATTGTCTTGTGTTCTGCAGAGAAACACATACCCCTAAGTTAATTTAATTTAAATTATGCTAGAAATTATCGAGAATACCCTTACATAATGTACTATTTTACTAGATAAAAACCACTTGAGGAATTGCACTATATCAAAGGCCCTAAGGTATGTTTTATTGTATATTTTAAATTTAAAAACTTATTCAGTATCTCTGTACATCAGTCGAATTGTTCTAAATTTTACTCCTCTATTTAAATTTATAATTACACTAACAATTCAATTAACTATATCAGTAATAGGTATTGTAAATATAAAATACAATTTATAAATAATCTATATTTAATTTGTAGATTTATTTTGTATTAGTGTATTAATCTCTAAGAACTACAGTACTTTAAATAATACCTATTTCATTCGCCATAAATGTATATTAATATATTCGTGTGTACAGTGAACGTCAAATAGTCTTGTTATATATGGAAATAGAATCATCTACATATATTTGTATGACAAAATTGAGTATAACGCGCCCCAACTTCTAACTACTCAATAATAAAAAAAATTATATATATAGGATTAATTCGGTAGAAAATATTTCCACCAGCCACTTCCAAGAACTGCCCGAGAAAAAAAAACCAGCCTGTTTTTAGAACAACCCAATCAGCATTCAACTGCATCTAAGCTAGAAGGATCAAGAAGCCGGTTATTAAAATTTCGCTAATATTCTTCAAATTCTCTTTTTTCAATTATTAAAAAAATAATTTTTATGTCAACTTTAACGTTAATTTTGATCATTCTTGAAATACTAAATATAGTGTAAACTCTTTATAACGTCGTTCGTTATAACGAAAAACTTCCTATAACATAGAAATTAGGTCAATTTAGTTGGTTTGCTTCAAAACCCATACACTCTTTATAGCGCAACAGCCAATCTCTATTACGAAGAAATATGTTCATATTTAGACGCCAGCAAATATTTACAGAAGTATTTAACAGTGTAATTGTTTTTACAATCAACTTACAAAAGGTTCCGTCTAAATATTTGAGGTGCCGAAATTTCTAAGAAAGACCCCGAGGTTGTAAACAACTGCTTTGCTTTTGTTATTGCCAATTGCCTCAAACACGTGTGCCATTACTCTTGGATTACATTGTTTCTAGGAAATTTTGCATTCAATTACTAAACGCACTAGGCACCTATTATCACCAACTTTGAAACTGTCAAGATGGCCAGTAAAAGAAAAACGTTAATGTGTTAACGAAAAAGTTTGATACGTGCGATAGAAAAGGGAGAAAAGAAAAGTGATGTTGGAAGACGTTTAGGCCTCAGTCCATCTACTGTTGCTACCATTTGGAAAAACAAAGCAATTCTACAGGCAGAACTGCAGGGAGTGTCTACTAAAAAATTAAGGAAGCCAAAATTCGAAGACTTAGATCAAGCAATGTTGTTGTGGTTCAGTGCCAGAATAATGTACCCATCTCGGGGCCAATCGTTAAAGCCAAGGCTGAGAAGTTTGCCGAACAACTAGGCATTACTGACTTTAAAGCATCAGAAGGTTAGCTTGGAAAATTTAAGCACCTATGGTAAACTGAACGGAGGCGCGAGATGTCGATATGAATGTGACTAACGACTGGACTAATAATGTGTGGCCTAAATTAATGGATAAGTACTCACCAAATGACATTTTCAATGCGATGAAACAGGACTTTTTTTCAAGATGACACGTGACAAAACTTTTAAATTCAAAGGAGAAAAATGTATGGGAGGAAAACTCTAAAGAGCGTATTACAATTCTAGTAGCTGCCAATAGGAGTGGCACGGAAAAGAGAAAGCTCTTGGTTATAGGCAAATCAAAAAGCCCTGTGTTTCAAGAACATAAAACAATTGTCAGTCACATATAAAGTAAACAAGTCGGCTTGGATGACATCGCAGTTCTTTGAAGTTAGAAAATGGGATGCTGAATTAAAGGGACAGAAAATCTTACTTCTAGTAGACAATTGCCCTGCTCACCCTTTTATAACCAATCTTCGAAACATAGAGTTAGCATTTTTCCCAGCAAATACAACCAATATATTGCAGCCGATGGATCAGAGTGTGATTAAAAGTCTAAAGGGTCACTATAGAAGGAAATTGTTGATGGAACTGATCGAAACTGACGGCAAGACCTCGATTAATATACTACACGCAGTAAATTTCATATTGAAAGCCTGGAAACAGGTAACAGCAGCGACCATACAGCATTCTTTTCGTCACGCGGAACTATGTAACAGTCACAGTAGAAACAGAGCAGTGTGGTAGTGAGGACAATCTACCACCGAGAGATTGGATTAAACAGTTCAGCATACAACCGAATCATTTCTGCAAAGATTTACAAACATACGAAAATATAGATCAGGACCTGGCGCTTCACTCACTGATGAAGACATTATTGATTCAGTGGACGATTATGAACCATCACCAACTGTTCAACAAGCACTTGATGCCACCAAACTCATTGAAAAATTCTTATCATTTCATAAAGATGATTCCACTACATCCCAAGACATGCATAAAATATTTGAGAAAATACAAAACAAATATTGGCATAGTAAAAAACGTCAGGCAAAGTTAACAGAATATTTTGTTTGGAATAATTTAATTACCTATTCAAAGTACATAATGAAATTGGAAATTATTGTAATTGGTGAAATTTGGTTATTTTCCCCTTTTCCCTCCATATAACAAAAAAAATCCCCGGTCCCTTAAGATTCGTTAAAAAGAGTTTACACTGTATTTAAAGTTCAACTTAAATTTAAACATTAAAAACCGACCACTGGCACCAAAAAAAAACTGGCAATATTTTCTTAGCTGAAAATGATAAAATGCTCACTTATTTATATATTATGTAGAATTATTTTTATCGAAAAAATTCTTTGATATAACAAAAATGCAATGACAAAATATATTAAGTTCTTAGATGTGGAATTCATAGTCGTGAAACCAAAATTTCAATTGAAAGGGACACCAAATTAAACCAAACTAAAAGTAGCAGAAGGTATATAGATGTGGTATAAAATAATCTGTCGTTAAACCCTCATTTTTCAACCATGCAACTCTTGAAACTGACCCGGTGGAAAAAGCGTGAAGTTATCTAGATAAATATTTGTACCGTCGTATTTCCCCCATAATCACACCACTTTCTACTTGAAACTCAAAAAAAGGCAATTCTTACGAGAAACTACGATAGCAGACTGCATTCTCGAAACGAAAGTATTACTTGAAACCAGTCGATTGTGTAGACGATTCGGATTAGTCGTACTTGTATGAACGGCAACCCCACAGCTCAAGGGTGGGACTTGACAGAACCTCACAAACCAAACAAACGGGCTATAGAGCCACATATAATCGATTTGTTTTCCACATAAAAAAAACACGACTGAAAAATGGCTTCTTCGCAGTCTATAAGTTTGTATGCCGTGTTAATATAACACACAATTTAAAATGTGAGGATGCATTTATGAAAAGGTGTATTTTACACGTGGCAAGAGCTATTCCTTATCGGTTTGATATGTAATTTTGTCGTTTAAAATAAACTATTTGGGGTCAAGGGTCACAAAAAGTATTTCTGAAACTCTGAGTGCCCATTGTTCATTGGAGGAAAATTTAGTATGTAACTGGAAAATCGTGTACTTACAGGCGATATCGAGATCGGAAATACTTTTTGTCGAGAAAAATAAAAGAAAACCGTGTTCCATTATGTTAAGATGTACGTTTAATTCACATTCAAACCACTTTTCAGTATAGCTTCAGCAAAATAAAGTAGCACATGAAATTTAAGAATGTGACTATCCTTTTTCAGTTAGAAAGGGATGAAGTGCCTGCACTTTTTTCACTACTTCAGAAAAAAATTGTTAATACATTTTTTTTAATAAAAAAAATTAAATAGCTATTCAAATGTTTTTCTAATTGATAGTCGATCAGTTTCAGCACATTCTGCGTGTGAATTCATGTTTAATTATTAAATACTTTATAGATTTACCCACTATATCTATTTTTAAGACTGATTTATGTAACCCCTAGTATTGGTCTGTGTCAACCGAAGATATTTATAATTAAAAACTAGAAAACAACATCTGTTATATGTCTAAATTACTATGAAACATTGCTTAATGTAGATTGTCATACTCAATTAAAAAAAGAATATGATTAAAGAACATCAATTACTATATGATTAGATAGACACATGAGGCCCAGACAGACAGAATCTTTATCTACTAAATGAATTCACCTTAATATTGGCTAATCTATTTATAGTATCAAAAAAAGTGTGGCGCCCCTCGGCGGGGCTGAACAATCGCTTAACGCTTAAAACAAAGAAAATTAACAGCTAAATCGCGCCATCCAAGTCTAAATGTATATTAAGAATTTTTATCTTTGTGTTACTCACAACCACTCAACTAATTGTACGCCTTAATCTATCAGCATAAATTACGGTTTAGTCTTTTCAAGTAGCAACTAAAATATATATCAATAAATATGTATACAATTAATTTCATATAAAATAAGTAAAAATGTAAAATAAAAAAAATGTACACAGTATATATGTAATATATATGTAAATACTTAAAAATGTTTTAATTCGAGCAATTTCGAACTTTACTACTTCCCTGGTGACGTTACAGAATGGAAGCCGACGTTGAAAACAATCAACTTCTCGATAGCCGGGCCACACCTCTTTCAACGCAAATAATTAACGTATTTCTCACCACGCTTTCCCTGAATTAAACGATGCACATTTTACTTGTTGAAAACTACCGCCACAAGTTGGTACATTTGAACTATTGCTTATAAAGCACAGCTGATGGTACATTTGAACTATTAGTTAAGAAATTAAGAATTACTGCTCAGAAAGCAAACATCACTGATGGTACATTTGAACTACTAATTAAGAAATTAATAAACCCTGAAACCAAAAAAATGCTTTATAAAAATTTTGATCGTAGGTATTAAATGCTACAGAAAATGCAAAAATTTCTCGTTTCGAAGAGTTGTATCTTCGGAGTGAGCCGTACGTGAATTATTTTCAGGCGAGGAAATGTCCAAGCTAAAAATTAAACTAAAGATGATAAAAAAGTTAAAAAAACACTATATTAAGCATAGTACAGTACAGCCAGATCTTAACGTATTCCTACTACCTATATGACGTGGTTGTGCACTATTAAGTAAATTGTATTTACTTATAAATAAATTTTATGAATATTTATTAAATAGTGGTCTTAACTTACAACAATTCCTTATTAATCCTTAAAAGAATTAGACTGTCTGCTGGTCGGCCCTGAATTTTAACTTAGATAAAATACATTTATATAGTATATACAATTACACCACCTACAATTTCATTTTACAAGAGGACAGACTAGAGAACGATGAACTTACACAAAAAAAATCGACTGATATCAAACTATCTGTAAAAATACAATAAATTAAATTATACGAAAGATTTATAACTATTGTAAATGCATTTAACTTAAGTTTATATAAGAATACTTACTTGCTAAAGTAGGAATCACAATGTTAAGTGTAAAATTACTAATAAAATTAATTAAAAAGTTAACAGCTACCTAGCAGACATTCCAATTTAGATATGAGGTAAAAATTCAATTTATATACTATTTTAATATATATTATGTCCATAATAACAACTTGAGCGGTGCTTAAAATTAGTCAACATACTTCTGTCTGTCTGTCTAGCAATTATTTATTAGATTACATATTTATAAAAAAAAAACAAATAAGTGTCTGGAATACTTAATAGTTCAGTAATGACAGGGTGGGCGAGGAAAGAGCAATGCCAAACTCTAATATCTACGATGCGGTCTCCGAGTGCCAAAGATAACACACAAAATGGACGAGGACCTTGACAGAAAAGACCAGAGAAGCGAAATTAAAGGAAATCGAGCAAACGTCCAGCAAAGAAGCTGACGATCTGAGTAGAAAATAGCATATAGCGTTATTGTGCTTCTGATCGAGGTCCCTTCTTCAGGCAAGCTCTTCGGCATTCCCCATGTTATCGTGAGGTAATCAAGAGAAACCATCCCAGAGTATTCGAACAAGACATCACAACTTCCCTAGCCCGAGGGCGATTTTAGGTCTACGATTCCTGAACTAACTAAAAGAAACTCTAAAGCCAACAGTGTGTCCGTCCAAGCGGTGCGGACCGAATACAACAGTCAGGATAGCTAACAGATGGTGTGGATGGCCGGCGAGTCATATGTCTGTCTAATCAGAGTAATTGAGTTTGGTAGCAGTGACCAGTCCGGCTGCTCTCTTCATGTTTATCAAGCCAACACGTTTCCAACTGTTACAACACATACCTAGATTATTTAAGTTGTTGACATGCTTCAATGTGACACCCACTGGCCCGTCCGCCGCACAACTGCGCCCGCCGTTGTCCTCCGTCGGTTCAACGGAGCGGCACGAGTTGTAAATAACGGCCTTGATGGCATTGAAATAAATGTGGACATTTCTTAGGGCGCAGTTGTCCAGCGGGATCTGAACGGGAGTCACATTGCTGGTACATAAGTTATCAAAAGGTTGTCAGGAACTGGGCCACTCTTTAAAATCATTGAAATGTTTAGCACCTGCGTTCGGGGGTTGAGATGAGTAGCCTCCGACTTGCGAGCCAGCGTCACTGCCGTAGGAGCGCGGCGGGGCACCGTAGCCGGAATCAGCCGCCGAGTAGGATCCATAGCTGGGATAGCTGGAGTAGTCGGAACCGGGTTTGGAGTTGCTGCCGGAGGAGGACATGTTCGGCGGGGCGCTAGGAGTAGCCGGGCCGCCCGGCCCGGATTGCCCCCGGGAGTACATATCCCCTGCAATATAACCTGTCAGCAACGGTTAAATGACTTAGTACTCCGCCCTTGTTAGGAAAACTATTACGTGCTTACCAGATGGACCTGTCGAGCCCGTATTCTGAGGCATATTCCAACTGTTCCAGCTGGCAGCGCCGCTGCCAGCATTTGGACCTGTAGCAGAATATACTACTTCAAAATATTTCAAGTACTGATGGTACTATTTCGGTACTTACTATCGGTTAAGACACTGACATTCTTTTTACTTGTATACTACCAAAAATAACATTTCTTGTTTCTGGGCTATGGTTACATTATAAACAGCTTTTTGAAAATGCCATTTATCATAAAGGTGTTATAGGTATAAAATATGTCTCACAAGGAAGTATACCAACGTTGAGGGGATATTGAAAATAAGCAAGAAAGTATTTGGACAAGATGTGACAAATAGTAAAGATTCTTTGGGTTAAAATAATGGGACCTTCCTTATGCCATTTTTCATTAAGTACCTTTTTTTTCAGGAGCAAGTGTCAAAATTACAAATGATAAATAAAAGAACGATTTTTATCAATAACCTTATTGTTTTCAAAGATATTAAGGCATGTACAGGATATCCCGAAATTAATGCAACGAAATTTGGTCACAGATTCTTAAGACAAATTTAGGGGACCAGTATTTTTTATTTTTGCCAAGTGGCCCCTTCTTTCGGAGTTACAGCCCCCTGAAATCCGCCCTTAAGAATAGTCTTTTTTTTATATCTCAGAACCCTGTTGTACGATAATCACTAAATTTGGTACACAGGGGCTTTACGACATGTGGAATCTGATAGTGCTCCATTTTTTGGGGGGGAATGCCCATAAGACAATTTTTCGTGGGCTCCCTTGTCTCTGGAGCCAAAAAAAATTATTCGCATATTTAAATTTCTTGAAATTATTAGTCCGCTAGAAAGCCATTAAATTTAGAAACTTCTTTGTCTCTTAATACTTTTTTCGTAAAGCGCAATGTTTTCGAATGTTAAATGAGATTCGACATTTTTCTCAAAAACATTGCGTTTTACGAAAAAATATTAAGAGACAAACAACTTTCTAAGTTCAATGGCTTTCTAGCGAACTATAATTTTTAATTTTTAAGAAATTCAAATATGGGATCAAATTTTTTAGGTTCCAAACACAAGGAGGCTCACAACAAAGTGTTAAGGGGGTTCCCCGTCAAAAAGCCTAGCACTATCAGATTCCACATATCTTAATACCCCTGTGTACAAAATTTGGTGATTCTCGTACAACAGAGTTCTGAGATATAAAAAAGACTATTCTGAGGGGCAAATTTCAGGGGGCTGTAACTCTGAAAGACGAGGCCACTTGGCAAAAATAAAAAATACGGGTCCCCTTTTGTCTTAAGATGAAATCTATGACCAAATTTTGTTGCATGAATTTCCGGACAACCTGTATAAACTTGCGAGCTGAGTGGCTCATCAGCCGCTTATGTAACTAGTGGCGCCAGTGTCAACGGAACTTTGAACGTAGTTCAAGCCAATCTTGAGCAGCTCCGTGTGAAACCTTCATGGCAAACAGAGTTTCTTGTTTCAAACGAATACGCAAACTGAATGGCGCGGTAGATTTACTTGTGAGCAATGCCAGCTCACTTTGGGCATTCATTTTTTCCAGGACCGCCTTTATGAGCGGCTCATGAGCCACTCAGCTCACAAGTCTGTACGCACCTTTAAGCTGACATTTTGATAGACTTTTACATAATGCCGACACATCTTTTATATAATTTTGCCAAAAAAAAAAAAAAGGGCATGAAAAAGTCATAGTACCCATTGGACCCTTTGATTTTAAGTTTGATTTGTATAAAATAGTAATTCTTTTAGGTGTCATACTAATACACTTCATGTTGTATAAAATTTCCAATTCTCTTGGGAGAAGAACCAAGCTTGACAAAGATGTCCTTAGACGATATCAAAAGGGTGTTTGTCCCCATTTCACATATTAATATAAAATGCAATAATGTAGCCAAAAATTTGACCCCTACTTTTTTTTGTATGAAATCACGAATTAACTGGTAATTTAAAAAAATAATAGTGAAACGAATTTGGCAGACAATCGTGGCATGCTAGACTATGCTTTAATTGTGCCATCTGTCAATAAGAAGCTCAACTAAAATATCATACCACTGCTCTTCTCCTTTTCTTTACCGATATAAAGTTAATTAAATAAATTTTCTGTAATAATATATCCCTGTCCATAGCCTGATATATCACCAGGTTGATGATGATGTAAGAAATAAAATAAAAATAAAATTTATCTAAGGTGTTATCAGTGAAATTTCAGTATAAATGGTGTTGTAGGAGTATTATTACTGAGTTTTATGCAAACTTATTTTCATAATTGTTCTATACTTTACTCTTGGAAAATGTCTCGAAATCTTAAGAAAGATTTTTTTTAGACTACATAAGTTTTTAGATACATGCATAAATTAATTTACAATTTAAACATAATACTGGTGTAATTGGCCGAATTTTAAATTTTGTAATATAAAAAAAGTTTTTATATAGTTTCATTTTATTCCATCTCCCATTATATTTCAGGTAAGAGTACCTATACAAGTAATTATTCTTTTTGATAGTCTGCTTAATTTAAAAAAATATATATTATCAGATATATGTAAACAGAATAGTCTCTCATATTTCTTTGAAGACTTAACTGTCTCTTAAATTTGAAAATTTTCATATAAACATAAATAATTTTATGAATCATCCCGTCATTTTTAATTTCTGCCTTGTTCATCTAACTTTTAGAAATTATTCATTTTTATGTACACCAAATACATCCATTTAATTCGATTACAATAGGACGCTAGATTATAAGGTTATAATGCATTTGCAACACCTTATCAACTGTTGCTAAATTTGACAACTTAATTAACAAGTAGTTGCTAACTTTAATCTTAGAAAATATGAATGTTGATCATAAACCTTGAAATTAGCAACTTCATTCTGTGGTTAATTTCTTATACATATAATCAGGTCCATTATCAAAATTTATATTTTATAAGAACAAAGTTAGCAACTAGCTGTTGAGCTGACGAGCTAACGCATTATAACTTGATTTTAATTTAACATTCCGTTATATTTGGAGTATTATTAGAACTTACAAGTGAATATTTTCTATGGCTACAAGACAAAGAAAAAAGTGGAATAATACATAGAATTATTTATATATTATTAGATATCAGAAATGTTAAGGCGACTGCAATGTGGTACAGGGTTGGCTGTACGCCGGGCTCTCCTTTATGTAATTTTATTCAAACAAAAGTGACACAAGCAATTACACTGAAAATGCACAGGACGATACAATTACGAAGATACACGCCTTCGCAGTAGTAGTGACACAAATATCGTGTAGTACGTAATAATAAGTACCAGCAAAAGTTAACAAAATAATTTCTTACTCATAAGGAAAGCGATTGTAGAAAATAATTAACAGTTATCCTAAGTATACCGTGGTTAATCGTCTCTGGTAAATACCTATTTCAAAAACGAAAATGACCGTTCAATATTTACCGAGGTCGCAGGCACATATCTAAAACAGTTGAAGTTTTTAATAGGCACCATCTTTACTAATACAGGGTTCATAGTTCAAATGTAATAAAGAATTCTCTAACTTTTCCAGACTTTCCCTGACTTATAAAAAAAATCCAGGTCACTTGTAGTTAATTTTTACATACTAATTGATATTAATGCATTAACCTTTTTCTCGATTAGACTCCATAATCTTTTTTATACCTAAAAAACCTTATAAAGGTTTCAAAACCGCAAGTAGTTTTCTCTTTTAAGAACCCAAGGCCTACTTTCACAAAATTTCCAGTAGCAAACCTCAAATTCCCTGACTTTTCCCAGTATTCCCGGCCGCTATGAACTTTGTATTAGTGGCGAAGCGTCAACTACTTCACATTTTAGTAATCTCACTATCCGCGTCATTGTACAATAACATGTACATGTCTGCCTCTGATCTGAAGTTACGCATCGATCAATTTATTCGATACGTATCTAGTGGCACCCTAATGTTTGCCCTGTCGGCTAGCGTGCCGGTGAACAATTCAGTTTTTTTCGCCGAGACGTTGGTCGTGCATTTCATTGTCGTTTGTGCGTGTGTGAGTTTCACGCTTTGCTTGGTCGAATGTCTGGCACGTGTTTCTTGTGGCAGTCATTAGCATTGTGTATTGTGAGCAGAGAGCGGCACAAGGCTTGACCACATATTTAGCCTATGTCTGCTACTACAACGCGTATTGCCGCTTACCAGCATAATATAGATTACTACTGTTTATTTGATTGTTGCCACAAAGTTTCTGATGTCTAATAATTATATGAACATTTTCTTTCTATTTTCAAAGGCAGTAAAAACTCATCAAAGAAATATAAAACACTAGTAATTGTACATACATCTGATAACATTTCTTTAAGAGTTATACAGAATCTCATATAAGAGATGGAATAAATTCTAACTGTATATAATTTTTTTTGCAATATTCAAGGCCAATTGCCCAATATTGCTTAAATATTAATTTGTGTTTAAATTGTAAACGAATGTCCTTTATTTACGAATCACCCTGTATTATAAAAATGTTAAAACTACATATTTTTTCTAATATGACAATTTACTCTGAGCACTGTTTTTAAATACTAAATTTAAGTATTACTATATAAGATTTTGCGATAAACATATATTTTTTTATAAATATGGGGACATCTTTACCCAAGGAATATTATCCTAAGTTGTCATACTTCTTCGTGAGACATCCTGTAATAGGTTTGGAAAATTTTGCATTTTTTTATATTTTAAAATGAGTATTCACTATAAAATTATTTTTGTTCACTGAAATTAGGGTCCAACATTTCTATAAACATAAAATAATTTTATATTTGAATTTGTTGACAGTATCTAAGGGGTAACACCAGTGTAAAATGCTAAAATGCGCTTTTATGATTTTTTTTTTTAATTAAAAGAAAAGAGCACAATGATATTCAAGGATGTTATTAACCTTGTAATTAAATTTTCAAAAAAATATATTTATTCGTAAATAGTACAAAATGGCACCGCTATAGTTATTTTTGCGAGGCATGTTGTGCGACACAGTGTAAAGCCACATATAGACTTGCGAGCTGAGCGGCTCATGAGACGCTTACATAACTAGTTTCGTCAGTGTGGATGAGGTTTTGAGCATAGTTCCAGCCGACTTTGAGCCGCTCGCTGTAAGTTGGCTGGAGTCAGTTTTTCCGGCGAGCACAAAGGGAGGTTCAGTGTGAGTTTGGACGACAAAACTACGTGCTCGCAAGTGTGGACGTGCTTTTTTAATTAAATCACGGTGACCTGGCAGATGAAGATGTTCTTTTATATCTGCACCACTTGCTACCATCATGACAAACAGTTTCTTATTCAGATATCCCTCAAACGAATGCACAAATTGAATGGAGTGGCGGATTTATTCGCTCACTTAGTGCTCATGGGAGGCTCGGGCATTCATTTTTTCCACGAGTGCCTTACGAGCGGCTCATGAGCTGCTCAGTTCACAAGTCTAAACGCGGCTTAATTGATGCAAATTTGAATTATCGAAAAAAACAAAAAATTTTCTCTAATCTACATGAGTATGGTGAGAGAAATACACAGAGAATTTAGAAAACATTAATTTTTGTGTGATTTGTGAATATTGGAAGTCAAAAGTTAAATTTTTGATAATCATTTGTCAATAATGTTAAAATGAACTTATCGAAAATCCCATACGTATTTCTCTTCGAAATGTTATTTAGAAGATATGGTCAAAATTTGGAGTGAATAGAATGAAAACTGTTGGAATTATGCTGGGTGCCGTTTTAAGAAATCATGTTACGAGAAAAACGCCTTTAAAGTTTTGAGATATATGCTATACTAAAGTACTTTCGTTTGAAAATGCTTCTAACTGAATATAAACTCTTTCTAATGATATCTGTTACTAGTATTAGAGAAGTTAGAAATCAAAAGGTAAGCAAGTCATTAGGAGCAGCCCGACGCCCTTGGGAATGAGTTCGGGATTTCAAAGAAAAAATATTTGTACAGCCATAAAACTTTTTCCCCTTATTCCGAAGGTTGAAGACATCTTTTAAATCGATAAAAAAAATAGATTTTTTGAAAATTATACAGTGGTCTTACCCCTTAAGTAACGAGAATGTGTTCGGATATGTTTGTGTGAGTTTGCATATAAGTAACCACAGTCAAGTTTTTCCTTGCATTGGTTAAGGTTTATTAAAGATTTCGCGATTGGCGTATGCATTTTTACTGTAGCTGAGACAGTACGGTAGTAGATAAAAAAATAAATACTCTGAACTCTAAAGGTCCGGGTGGTTAACACAACTAGTTTTCTAAAGATCAAGCTATAACTACCACACAATATATACGGGGTGTTCAGATTGAGACTTCCCGGAAAGAGATATCTTAGTCTTTTATAAAATGTTGTGTATCACACTTAAATGATTTCAATTCTGAGGGCAAATGACATTACTCTTCATAGCCGGATAGGTAGCACAACTAACCTCAGAAATTTTCCGTTAATAGAAACTTCGGTAATTAGTTAACGTTAAAAATCATTCAATTCTAAGCAACTTTTGCAATACAGGTTTTTTTTTAGAGGTTATAGCACATTTTCCCCAGAAAACAAATCTGAATGCGGATGAACAAACCATATGAAAATAACGGAGTGGCAGGGAATGAAACTGCAATGGAAAATAATTTAGTAAAAACGGATCACTTTGTATAACTGCGACATGTTACTTTAAAGTCACCATATTTTTTTATGTCAATAAAGACATGTTACTAATATCAGTTTATGTTTTAAAATAATTATTTTTGCTGTTTTACAAAATGTACACAACAAATATTCTGGAACCGTCATGACACTAAAATGAATAAATGTGTAATCAAAGTAGCTTAAGGTGATTTTAGCTACAATATCATTTCAAGTTTTTAATAAAAGGTATTTATTATATTTTTTAAAGCACTGTGTTTAGTTTGTGAATATGTGTCAATGACCTCTGACATTTGAACTACTTTCTGTGAACAACATATCGATCCACATAATGTGATGCCACAAGGTGCTAGGCAGGCAAAAAAGAAAACGCTGGCATTAGTTTTGCGAAACGAGGGCAGGTGAATATGTCACAGCTTCATTTTATTACATTTATTTTAGGTTTTAGTTGATAGGCTCAAGAGTACAATAAGTAATTTCACGACTTTATGAAGTATTAGAATTTGTATAGTGCAGTGTAAGTGAAGTTGTGTGTTAAGTTTAAGTAAAATTTAAAGTGGCATTCAGTGATGGCACAGTGTCTTCATTGCTAAATTTGTCATATTTATAAACAGATATGCAAATGAATCAAGAAATATGAAATTTGACAACAATACATGCTGTAGCTCACAACTAGGTATGCATTCGCAACAAGCGCATGGTTGATTGAGGTTACACTTGCTTGTCCAGAGGTGAATTATGAAACTTATTAAAAATTTAAAAAAAAATATTGTATTCACAATGGAGTTTGAAAAAATAAACGGACGATGTGTTTCTAAAGGGCGAATGTTGGCTTTGGATAATGTTCAAAGATACAAATAATTTCCTAAAAGACACTGGTTTCCAAGATACTTGAATTTGAAATTAAGAAAAAAAAAAAAAAAATTTATAACTTTTTCAATATTGAAATAAAGAAAAAAATACATATTAGATTTATTGTAATAATGAGAATGTTTTTTAATAAATTAAAAAAGAAAAAGTACAAAATTAATTCATAAATCAACTACTACTTTTTATACACAGAATAACATGTACAACGGAAGATCACAGATTCATGGATTCAAAATAGATCTAGGGTATTTCACTTATATCCAAAATCACTTAGTTTAACCGCCAGATGGCCTCAAAGTTGGTGAACATTTTTTGAATATTGTAAATGACTTCAATACCTATTAATCGATTTTGATTATTTTTGGGATGTGGACTTTTGCTTTCAATCTAGACATTTTGGTGTTATACAGTGTTTTTTAAAACCTACAACTCCTACAAAATTTCATAACTTTTTCCTTTTTGGGGCAATAATGACAATTATTTTTTATCTGATAGGTATAGAAGTTTTTGGGCCTCTCGTAGAATTTTGATTAAATGAGCGGTTTGCGTACTTAAAATATTATTTAAATGGCTACATTATTGTGCCACCCATATTACAATACTTGAAGTGATCTTTAAGTCATTGTGCCTGACAACACTTAATGATTGTTTACGACGATAAGATATACCACCTGTTACTTCATTTTTCGATATGGATACACACATACGACAAATTAAGAGTTATTTACAATGTGCCTAATTTTATTCAAATAATTAGAAAAAACAATTAAATACAACGCATTGATAGCATTATTATTGGCTCTATTATTCTATGCAATAGACTGGATGAGGAATTTTATTTAAAATTTTTGCAAAACACTTTACCCGAGTTGTATTATTATTTCATTGTAAATGTCCGGCAATATCTGAACCAGATTCCCTCGTCAATGGATCGGCCTGTATGTTCACCAGACTCAACACCTTGTGACTATTATCTTTGGGGCACTCTGAAAACAACAGTGTATGCTTCCATATCTAACACTGAAGAAGAGTTATGGAGACATATCCTAATTGCCATAAATGTTTTAAAAAATTGCCCTCAAGAACTGCAAAGAGTGTCCTTTAACTTTCTTCACTAAATTAACCTTTGTTGTAGAAACAATGGTGGTCATTATGAAGAGTTTTTATAATATGTTGTACTAAATTTAATAACCTCAACTTTGTTACTTTTATCTCCAGCAATTTTTATTGTATTTGATTGTTTTTACTAATTATCTCAATAAAATTAGGCACGTTATAAATAACTCTAATTCGTTGTGTGTCGAAATATCGAAAAATAAAGTAACATGTATATCTTATCGTATTAAATACTCATTAAGAATTGGCAGGTACAATGACTTAAAGATTAACCTGAAAGTCAACTTAGAAAATCAGTGTCTACTTTGTAAGTATTGTAATATGGATGGCAAGATAATGTAAACATTTAAAAAATATTTTTTGTACCTAAACCGCTCAATTAATCAAAATTTTACAAAAGGCCCAAAATTTTCCAAATGGTATCACCTATCAAATTTAAAATAGTAGTCATTATTGCCCAAAAGAGAAAAAAGTTATGACTGGAAATAATCACCACACATCAATTTTGTAGGAGTTGTAAGTTTTAAAAAACACTCTGTATAACACCAAAATATGTAGATCGAAAGCAACAGTTCACACCCCAAAAATAAACAAAATCAATTAATACGTATTCGAGTTATTTACAAAATTCAAAAAATTGTCACTAACTTTGAAGCCATCTAGCGGCTAAACGAAGCAATTTCGGATATAGGTGAATTAGCCTAAATCAGCCTATTTTGAGTACACGAATCTGTGGTCTTCCGTTGTACACGTTATTCTGGGACACCCTGTATAAGCAAAACTTAATGTGAAAAAGCAAAGCAGATCAAATATGAACTTAAACTGGTCTTGTGAAGTTTTGTTCTCTAAAAAAAAATTCTTTCAGGTTCGGAAACCAGTGATTTTGAAAATATCTAAAGTTCCTACCATTGAAAAATTTCTTTGGATTACTGTGCCATTTATACCTTCAAAAAAATCTGTTTCCACTCAAAATGAATCACACAACACTTTTTATAAATCTTAGATACCTCTCTCAGTTCAGGGCTTAAATGGAACACCCTGTACATATATACGACGAACTTATCCGAGCCTATATATCACAGGAATGCAAAACATCCTTAAAAAAGTCAAGTAAAATAAACTCAAAGAAAACAAACAATTTTAAACAAATATACTTACCGTAAGATCCATATCCTTGCTGTTGAGGAGGCCCAGCGTAGTTATTACCCCATTGTGGAGGCGGACCTTGAGGTGCTGGGGGAGCACCCCAGCCTTGATAGGACCCAGGACCCGAAGGGGTACCATATCCTGCGTAACTCTGCTGCTGGGGTGAGGTGCCCCAACCCTGATAGCTCTGCATCATGTTCGGGCCCATAGGGGCTCCTAAATTCATAGGGGGCCCTCCCATTTGTCCGTTGGGACCTTGCATCATCCCCATGGGCGCCTGAGGCGGGCCCCACGCAGAAGACGGATCCGCACCACCCATTTTGTTCCCTCCTGAACCATCGCGGGGTTCTGCCTTCTTGATCTCCACCTAACAACAATATTTGTTTCATTGAGGATGATAATCAATTTTTTCTAATCACCTGTTTTCCATTTAGATTGACAAAGTGTTCTGAAACACATCTCTCAACCGCCTCATCGTCTTCAAAGGAGAGGAATCCAAATCCTTAAAATAAAATGCCATCAGTTTTTTGGAAAGCCCAAAACGGGATATATTTTACCTCTCGACTTTTTCTTCTCTTGATCATACATTATTACCACCTCCATCACTTTGCCAAATCTAGTGAAGAAGCTTCTGAGGTCTGTCTCTGTAACGTTCGACGGTAACCCACCCAAGAATACTTTAGGATAACCTCCGCCCTTTTTAGGTTTTTGTAATGTCCGTGGATTACATGGCTTTGGGTCTATGGTCCTAAAATATGCATTTCAATATACACTTCACCCAGTTTCTGGAGTTGGGACAACATTATTAAGATTTCAAGATATCCTAAGTTTTTTAAACATTGGAAAAAACCAAGCCTCAAGGTTCCAAATTTATTTACTTAAATTTAAAACATTTAACAATTTGCCACATAAAATAATAAAGAGGCATTACTTTTAAATAGAATTGGTGTTTTAAGACACTATTGTATTAATCCTATTATTAGGGATCAGGATTAGGATCAAACTGGTTAGTTAAAAATGTTCAGAAAGGGATGGAGTTCATCAAATTTTCTGAGCCTTTTTACCTGACAGTAGGATAAATGGATTATAGTCTGTTTAGAAATGAAAGAGAGTAATAAAAGCTTATTATGTATGCAAATCGTAAATAAATGTAGTACTGGTGCTTATATTCAATATTTTTATATTATGTATTTTCCGTATAGATATGTACTTTTAAAAAAACTTTGTGCGATCGGACTGTACTAAATTGTAGCAGGTAGCTAAAATTTAATCCCCGACAATCCGTCTTTGTCTATGCCGCTTCAATTTCTCGGTCCATTTCTCTTATAAGTAAACAATATAAAAACAGCATTTCAAAACATGAGGCTACTTTAAGCATCATAACCGGGTTAAGAGGGTTTTTAGTAATTCAAATAAAATTATTCAATATTATTATCAAAATATTTATTTAAATTTAATGAATAGCTTTTATTCCACACAAAAATATATGTATTTTGAAAATTCAAATTATGGTGAGTAAATGTAGTGTTGTATAAATGTACAATAAAGAAAATAAAAAAGTAGGTATATTAAAATTCATCCTCTGAATATTCTGATGAATTATCTTCGTCTCCTAGATTGATAACGATAGGTTCCACAGTAACGTCAATTAAATTATCGAGTTCCCACATTTTCTCCTCTTCTTTTTGTACATGATGTATACATCTTTGCCAGTTATCTGCAGTTACTCGTTCCAAGGAATTTTTTAACAAAATTTTCACGTCACTTAATTTAAACGTTGTATTATTTCGCGCTACATCTCCTTTTACCTGCGCCCAGACTAATTCGATTGGGTTAAGTTCACAGTGATAAGGTGGTAACCGTAGTACCGTTATTTGGCGATTTGTTGCCATTTCATCGATAACATATTTTTTCTGATCATTATTAAGATTGACAAGTGTCAAAAGTTCCTTTTTCACCATATTTGCTTCAAAAGAAATGTTTTTTCCGGATAACCATTGAATTATATCGGCTTTCCTCCAAGCAGTCAGGCGTCCGCTCGGTCTGCCGTGAATGGTAACTGGCATTATCCATGACAATTACAGATCCCGGAGGAATAAGATCCAACATCTGTGTAAAATACTCTTCGAAAACATCTGCGTTCATGTCTTCGTGATAGTCACCTGTATTTTTAGTTTCAAATAAAAGTAAACCGCAATCTACAAAACCACTGGCACTACCTATATGTGTCACTATTAATCTTCGCCCTTTACCTGAAGGTGCCTTGAACCCTGTTGAAAGTCCATCCAAAAATGCTTGTCGAAAACTTTTTACATTTTTATCTTGCCATACTTTTGTTACAGTATATCCCTTGTTGACCCAAGTTTCGTCTAGATAATAAATATTCCTCCCTTCGTCACGGAATTCTCTAATTGATCTTAAGTAGGATCTTCACCAACAAATAATTTCATCTTTATCGATAAGAACTGACTTCCTGTTCTGCTTTTCCCAGCAAAAATTCAACTCTCGTAAGACGGCCCATAATTTGCTTCTACTGATTTTTGGCAAATCGTTGTCCTCTGAATTTTGTTTAGCGTTGGTATTTCTTTTTTAAAATAAAATTAGTGTACTTTTCTGCGAATGACATTTTTTAAGAAATCATCTATAACGACTTTTGACCTCCCTGTAGATGATTTTGGGGGATTTACAGTATCTCGTTCATTTTTTGTTTCCTTTAAAAGTCTTTCTTTTCCACGATGTCGTCAACACTGTTGGTAGGATTTTGGTGTTTCAATGCATTAAATACATTTAATATAATAATCTTCATTCTGAGACAGCGCACATCTTTTCACGCGTTTAGCAGGTACGTAATCTGATAAGCTCGACATTTTACCCAAACAATATTATATCCACTGGCACAATAGTTACTAAACACAAGTCGAATTTTACTCTACTGCACTAGCACGTCTTCGTATATTCAGCTCTAAGACTGGATTGATCTGTCACAATACATTGGCTCCTGCCCTATGATGTATCCAGTAAAATATACTAATGTACACCCATTACCTGTTAGCATTAGTGTTACCCAATAATTACCTGAAACGAAATATTACCACGCCCATGGCCGGTTCTTATCTCGGGGTTTTATTACTCTCTTTCATTTCCAAACAGACTATAGCATTAGTGTTACCCGATAATTACCTGAAACGAAATATTACCACGCCCATGGCCGGTTCTTATCTCGGGGTTTTATTACTCTCTTTCATTTCCAAACAGACTATAGCTATCTAACCTTAAAATCTAGACAATGTATCAGTTCGTTCAGTGTTCAATGCATGATAAACAACAGTAAATATGCCCCATTTTAATAAGTTAGTCTTCCATTTGCTGTTAGTGATCCATCTAATTTCAGACCAAAAACCCCTAGGTATATGTATTTAACTACAAGTTTCTTATGTTGATACTTATAAAAATGTATTTGTAAGGATTGATAAATTTGTTATGTTTAACTGAAATAATTAGTTCTACCAAACTATTTATAGGTACAAACAAGTTTATTTAATTTATTTACAAATAATAAAATAATATTGCAAATTGCAATAGTTTAATTTTCTGTGTTATGATTTAGATATATTGTTGCTTTGATGAATTTCAAATTTTCATATAAATAAAAAGGTTTGTTATCACAAACAAATTGAAAAGTTGACAAACACAATTATTATGAATGTCAATGTTTGTTGAAAATATCTGTATCAAGTAACAGTACTATAAATGTAAATTACTTATGTAGTTAATTTTTTTAGATTTCCCAAATGAGTAATAAATTTATAGGTACCTATAAGTAAATATAATTTATTCATCATTAAGGAATACAATTCCTTTATCTTCTAAATTTCAAAGTTCATTTTAAATCTGTTTATGTGCTTAATTCAAATACAAGTGATAGGTATCTTGCAAAACCTTTTATTTTGCAGGTAAAATTATATTTATGTAAGTTCATGCTTTAGTTTCTTTTAAAATTTCCAGGTAGATGTACTCATTAAGTTTAATATCCCAAATAATCTTACAGAACACAATAAAAATTTGCAAAATTGTTTTCAGGCATCTTCAAAAGTTTTAATTTTTAAGATGACTGCCCTTAAGATTATGTAAATAAGTATTCAGAATAATGATAGGTACATACAAAAAACTTTTGAGATCAATATCAATACTCCGTTCTTCAAAATTTATGGCATATTTTTTCAATCTTGGATAATTTTGTTGAAATCACAAAACAATGATAATCATTTCAACTGAGAGGAGAAGAATTACTAAATAAAATAAGATTAGATTTAATATCAGACAAAAACATCTATTAATTTTAAATTATCTAACCTTTTCTGAAAACCTCAAGTACAAATAGAAAATTGACAAAATGATGCTGCTTCTCAGAAAGTAAATAATGAAAAAAAAAGATATCAAAATTAGTTCGAAAGTATAGAAGTTATTGTAAGTTAAGTGCAATAATCACTAAGTAAAAATGAAACAGAAACATGGTTTTCTTATTTTTATGTAAGAAAACTAATTTTAGATCACAATGGAATTCATGTTAGTGATGACTAACTGTTCACTTTCTACAAATCTGTAGTATATTTAGAAAGAACTAAATATCATTTGAAATAATACACACAAAACTAAATTTGTCGGTACATACAATAAAAAAGTGTTTACATAAACCAATAATTATTTACAAGATTACACTACGCACCTTCAAAGTTTCAAATGTGAAAGGCACAAAAACATTGCAACCAGAACTAATTCTGTTAGACACAGAGGTCAAGCTTCTTAAAATAAGATTTTGAATCAGGTCGATAAACTTGGTGAAATATATAAAGCTGATAAATAGAACTATGAAGTTCCAACCATTTAACGGACCATTGATCATCTAATAAATATATTTTACCTCTTCCTTTTGTTAAATCAAATAATAAAACAGCAATTTATACCTGTAAGTTATTTTTGTACTCATATGAATATACTAGATAAATAACAGTATTTAGCAATTCTCATAAACGTAAGTAAAAAAGTTGTTAAAATTTGTTTTAACAAGCGCACTCACCTGCCATCCAAAGTGTGTGGTCCATTTTGTAAAACAACGTTGACATTAGATGGGTCAGCAAAAGTGACAAACCCGAATCCCCTTGAGCGCCCAGATTCTGCATTCTTCATGACGACACAGTCAATTACCTCACCGTATCTTGAAAAGTACCTTTGTAAATTGTCTTGGGTTGTTTCCCAAGATAGCCCTCCAACGAAGAGCTTGCTGGAATATCGTATGGAAATATGATACAAAGAAACCATAAGAGATAAGCACTATGACTAGAAAAAGTTGTTTTGAAGGTATTTTTAAGCCTTTGTTAAAGTAAGTAATTGAAGGTTATACGAAATATTCCATTGACAATTTACAAAAAATATTAAACTTAAAAAAATAACATGACTACCTTTGTTATTATCAAAGCATTATTGAAGCAAATATATTTATTTGTTAACTGTTAAATAAATATTGAAATTATCTTCATCCTAAATTGTACATTTTGAATATGTGCAAATAAAATCATAGATATATATGATTTGAATTAGAAAATGTCTTCAACCATGATGAAGCAACTATTAAGTTTACATATTTATTAAAAGCAGAATTTATGGAAACACAATCAGTTTCCACTGTACCAGTGAAAGACATGTAAATAAAAGGTATTTGAATTAATCATGCAGTGGCTGAAATATCAAAGGTTCAGATTTAGATTGAGCAGATCCTTTTCAAGAAAAACGTTAACCTGTTATTGCCGTGCGGTATTAAATGATATACTCTGTAGTCTGTACATTGCGCCAAGAAATTTTAATAAATAATTTCCCTTCTTATTAACATTACCGATTGCTAATGCTGAAAAATCTTTATTTATGTAAAGCAACGGTTCTGTTCCTTGACCGTTCGCGACGATCTCGCTTGGGGTCGGTGAACGGTGGTGAAAAGCAAACCGGTACAGTAGGATATATTAAAAGTAAGCTTTGAATTTTCATAATTTCCACGACGAAAATCATTTTTTCGGAACCATTGGACGGGTATCGTGTTACGAATACTTCTCGGTCAAATATAGAAAATACGTAAAATTGACAAATACACGTACACGATGTGACCTATTAACGAGTTCGAGAAAATTTCGTGAAATACATAATATAATAATAAATACCCCTTCTCATCATCGTCCATAATTTCTTGCTTTAATCTCAACATTCGCATAATATTCTGCAAATCCAAACTCACAACACTTCTACTTTACAGCCGGTAACATTCACCATTCACCACGTACAAGCTACCAAACTACAATGGCAGCTCCACAACTTCCGTCAATTTTGCGTAAAAGTGATTTAGGCGCCACCGCTGTACGCTATTTTGTAAAGATTAGATAAAAAATTATACGTACCCGTACTCGTACTCTTCCATTATAACTATTATAACTTCTTACACTAAACTTAACATTAAATTAAATCTAACGTTAAGAACTATCCTAATTAACAACTACGGTAAGAATAGACACAGACATGGCTACATGGCATAACAAGAGGGGAGGAAAAATGGAAACCATTTTAGAATGTGGTAGGGATTTGGTATGGACACATATCTTATGGATATAATCCGCTAGGGTTTCGCACATGTAACCAATCACATCACGCATAAAACGAGTACCCAATGAGTCACATGGGAAGGGGAACTTATGGCGGGAAATAAAAAAATATGAATCAACGAGGGGAAAATTTGACTGTATTATAATCGTGGTACTTCCCATAAATAATTCAAATCAGTTATATTTGTATAGTATTTCTTTAGGACACAAAATTTATCACAGCAATATTAATATTAAAATATGTATTTTTTAAAGTGAATGCAAAATGTTACTGTTGTAGATACTTCATATAATTTTTTAATTAATAAAGAAATGACAAAATTTGTAAAATATCATTGTAAACAAGGAAATTAATAAATACAAACATAGATAGCAACATTCTATGTTGTGAAAACACTGTTCTGCTTCAGATAATATGTAAATCAATGAAATGTTTTCATTTTATTTGTTACTTATAAATAATTTGATTCAGTTTTTAATCATTAAAATTTTTAATGATTGCCACTTATCAAATAATTTTTAATTTCTTTATTTTTCAGATTCTTTGATCTATTGATTCGATTTTTTAAATTTTGAAATTATGTACAAGTTTTTTGCATGACTTTTTCTTTTTTTTGCTTAAAAAAGGCAATCTATTATTATTAATTTAAAGAAAGGAAGCATCAGTACATTAGTTCTGTTCATCCTCACTTTTTATCAAATTTAATCATAGATTAAGTAAATAAAAATCCAAAAATTTTCCAAAACTTATATTAAAAACAATAAATAAATACTATACATTTAAAAATGACAATTAACAATCAAAATATATTTTTGATTAAGGATTTGTACCAAGAATATCATTCCCTTATCTCTTAAATCTATTTTTGAATAGCGACAATGTCTTTGCCATGAGCGGAGCCTTTTTGGGCTTGATAGCGGCAGAGCTGGTGCTGCTACCTAGAAAAGAAAAAAAAATATAACATTAATTAATTAATGGTCGATACAAAATTATAATAATGTATTTTTCACTTCATATTTAAAATTTGTTGTGATTCCTTATTTAAATAGGCAAGTGTTTATTTGTTGAATAAAATTTTTGATTAATTAATACAATAATTTCAAATACAACTTACTGGATCTGTCCACCGCTCGACTTCCAGGGTTTGGAACTGAAACCTTACTTGCTTCGCCAGCCGTGGCCAGAGCAGTTAATTTCAAAGAAGTACTAGTTTTAACTGGAACCCTATTAATAATACCATTCTTCGCCTATAAATACAAATCACAAGTAAACTCCTATTCTAATAAAAAAGTCTTCTCTTCAACACAGTTCTCGTGCCTAGTTTTCGTCTGTTACGTCTACGCCTGCGAGACTGTATAAAGATACCCAAAATAACTTCGGGGATTAAAGTACTAATAACTTACCTGTCTCTTGGCGATGTTCCTGGGCGGTTTAGCCACCGAGTCGATGTACGCTAGTTTTGTCGTACGTACGGGAAGGGATTTGTCTTGCGACTCCTTAATGTTGGCGGTAATAGCGTTTAACTTGGCTTCTCTTTCATCCAGACAACGCATGTACATTTCCCGCCACGTTTCCATCTCTTCTCTTTTCTTGGTCCTGAATTCCTTCAAGCAGTGCAAGCGCCAAAGCTCGTCCGTGTCTTCGATGAGGTAGGGGTTGTAGTGTTCCAAGTTGAACAGTTGGTCGGGTGTAGCTTTTTCTAGAATGGGTTTCAGCACCATGTACGGTACTCCACCCGTGCACTCGATCGCTAAAAAGGATTTAATAAGTTATTTATTCAAAACTTCACCTTTAATGGTGCTGTAACAGTAGTGAGTGCTGCATGTGAGGCTCATTTCTACCTTTTAATTATTTGAGCTTACCATCTAAATTGTCTTGTAAAATTTTGACGCATATGTTGAATAGAGACTCAACCTCTCCACCTTTTACTTTATTTCCCGAATAAACCTTTGTCCTGCAAGATAAAAAAAAATTGACAAATCTCGATAGCTAGCTACACTAACAAATACAGAAAATAGGAACTGACACCTTGCCTTATATTGTTTTTATGATAATTTCACAATATTATTCTCCTCAGTATTTAAGGAATTTTATACAAGAAAACCGCATTATATAGGGTGAATTAAATTAGAAAGAAAGTTATGTTTTTCATCCACTTAAAGGCAAACCAAACACACCAAAGGTAACAGTTCTTGGAATAGTCAAAAAAATATATATAGGCCGTTTCATTTCTGGTGTGACAAACGAACACAGATGATAGAGAAAGTAATTTTGAACAAAAAAGTTCATATCGACATGTGTCCTAAAACGCCCCCCAGCGGCGCTACGCCCCTTTAAAGGGGACCATTAAGACACAATTTTATTACAATATCTCGAAAATGCATTGATATAAATTGATAAAATTTTATACAGAGGTACCATTTAATACGAGGAATTACTTTATCTAAATCAAATTGACACATTGTTTTCAGGGGCGTCCCTACGGGGGCAAACCAAGGTTCAAAATCCGTAATTTTTTTTGTTAAATTTGTACTTTTTTCGAAAATCGAAATCCTCGACTATTTCTACATAAAAAGGATATACTTGTTTCATGTAGGGAAAATAGAATTCTAGGTTCTTTATAATTTTTAATTTTCAGTAGAAGCATAAGAAGTTAAAAATGGCTTTTTCTAGAAAACCGTTGCAGATATCGTAATGAAACAAGTATAAATTTTTATTATGCAAGGCAAACACATTGCTATGAAAGTACATGGTGGATTTAAATTTGCTAAAGGAAAATTTATAGGCTTATTCGTTTTAGAGACACAGTGCTTATTTTTTTCCTTTTAAGGGGTAACGCCACTTAGAATCTTGAAAAAAATTGATTTTTGAGTAAATGATTTAAACAATGCTTTATTATCTGAAGAATATAGGAAAAAAGTTTTAAGTGGGGGAAAAATCAGAAACACGAGTTTTTTCGAGATAAAGCACGACCACTTGCAGAGAGTTGCAGGAGTGCTTATTGTAACTCATGATAACGTGAGCGATACTTAGCTATTATAGAGGCCAGATCGAGTCTCAGATAAAGCTGAAAAGAAGAGGATGAAGAAAATGTCAATATAGAAGACCAATTAATTATATGGCGCAGGCATCACTAATCGAAAGTATCCATATAATAAATTTCTTATGCAAAAACATTAAAAGCATTTTTCGAGAAATAACTTTTTTTTAACTGGCCAGAAACATAACTCCAAAAATTTTCAATGAGTTAACTTGAAATTTTGTACACAGCTTCACAATAACATAATCGGGGAACATTGTAGGAGTTTTTCGATTGATTAATAACACAGGCCGACAATTTTCAGAACCAGAAACCAGACCTAGTGTACCTGAAGGATTTTGGCGCGCTGATTATGAATCCGAGCTCAGAATTGGCCCATCACCCTAGGTTGTCGAGATATTCTAACCTAAAAGTGCAAAAATGTTGGTTTTTCGCTATATTCGGGGTCAGATTACGTGAATTATTTTTTTTTCTAAAATCGCATTAAACCTTCTCAAAGTACCACTCTTACCCTTCTAAGCGCACTTCGATTTTTTTGAAAAATCTTTTTTTTCCATAGAGATATGATAGATTGAAGTTTAGTATAATACTTCAGCGATTTCGTTAAAACATGGAAATAAACAACATTTATCTGAAAACGAGATATAAAGTAACTTATATGTTTCGTGAGTCGCTGAATTTGAAAACACAGGCGCACCTGCTCCATAACCTCAATATTTCGAGATTTTCTAACCTAAAATTGCGAAAACACTACTGAATGAAGATATGTATTTATGTATACACGCTGTTACATTCGGATGCTAAGCTCATGACAGGTTTATCATAATGTGCTATAACCTACGACACGTTAACCTAAATGCGCAATAACTAGCAAGGGTTAAACCCACAACAGGTTAACCTAAATGCGCAATAACCTGCGACCGCTAAACCCGCGACAGGTAAACCTAAGTAAGCTATAACCTGCGACGCTAAACCCACGACAGGTAAACCTAAATGCGCAATAACCAGCCAGGGCTAAACAGCACACTAAGGTTAACCTCTAGTGGGTTTAGCGCTCGTAGGTTATTGCGCATTTAGGTTTACCTATCGTGGGTTTAGCGTCGCAGGTTATTACGTATTTAGGTTTACCTGTCGCGGGTTTAGCGCTCGCAGGTTATTGCGCATTTAGGTTAACCTTTCGTGGGTTTAACCCTCGCTGGTTATTGTGCATTTAGATTAAGGTGTTGTAGGTTCTAGCGCATTATGATGAACCTGTCATGAGCTTAGCATGCAAATGTAACAGCGTGTATACATAAGTATCTGCTTCATATAGTAGTGTTTTCGCAATTTTAGGTTAGAAAATCTTAAAATATTGAGGTTATGGACCAGGTCCGCCAGTATTTTGAAATTCAGCGACTCGAGAAACATATGAGTACTCTATATCTCGTTTTTAGATAAATTTTGTTTATTTCCATGTTGTAACAAAATCGCTGAAGTACTAAACTTCAATCTATCATCTCTATGGAAAAAAAAGATTTTCAAAAAAAATCGAAGTGCGCTTAGAAAGGTAAGAGTGGTACTTTGAGATGGTATAGCGAAAAACCGTGTTTTTTGCAATTTTAGGTTAGAATATCTTGAGAGCTTAGGGTGATAGGCCATTTCTGAGCTCGGATTCATAATCGGCGCACCAAAATCCTTTGGATGCGCTAGATCCGGACTCTGGTTCTGGACGTTCGTAAAATTTTGTGGGCCTGTGTAATTTTCATTAACAATTTAATGTAAAATTTTTCGTCTTTTCTCGATACTTTTTTGAATTTTCAGTAAATCAACAATCATTAATATTTTTTAACTTCCTTACAATGTCCCCTAACCTTTAGTAACATTTTTGTGTTTTTGTTCCAAGACCATTCCTTAACCCTTAAGTACTGACATACAATTGTAGGAACATATATACTGATGTGTCGTCTGAGAGACTACTTTTAAAAAAATTTTTGTACTATGGCATTATTTAAAATTTGAAATACTTTTGTTTAAGTATAATATGCTTCATTATAATGGTATGTGATATAAATTATAAACATTGAAAAAATAATACTAGGTGTTTGAAAAAATATATATTTGGTAACTGACGGTAAGAAAACGTAACATAAAAGCATATATACCGCTATTAGCGATAAAAAAAAATAAAAAAATGAATGTAAAACTAAATTCAGCTGCTTTAAATATTAAACAAATATTAAAGAAGCGTTGTACATAGAAAATACGAAAAAATGATAAACATAACAATACAATTACAATCGTCAAAAATATGCTTCTCACACATCTTCCACGCAGCAGACGCATACCCTTTGTACATTGAAGGCATATAGGCTTCTTACATGTGTTACACAAGTATTTTGTCATTCTTCTCTTTTTACTTGGGCAAATGAAACATATTTTTAGTTTTTCTAATATATCTTCGTCGATCCCATCTAATGGTTTTTCTTCGATACCCAAAACGCGGCGTATGCAAAATTTTATTTCTGTAAAAATGTGAAGATTGGCTTCTCTCCGTTTCATATGTGGTTCAGCTAGTTGCCTTGCAAGTTGTTTTAGAAAATTTGATTTTTCTGGTATTTTGGGATTATCTTTATATGACTGATGGATTATATACGAGTTGGTACAAGAGATGTCTATAATTCTAAAAAATATTGTCATTGGCCACCTTTGTGTACGCCGACTTGATGTGCTTTTGGAACACTTCTCATCCAATGAATCCACACCCCCTTTCGTTAGATTATAAAAAGCCACAAGCTCAGGCTTATTAGTACCTGGATTAGTTTCTTTACTGTGATGCATAGATGAGAAGGATAGTGGCCTTACCTTTTTTACCAGCATAAGACAACAAAGTCATCTCTTCCGTAAATCCATAAAGAGCGCTGCCAACGTCTCTTCTCCTATTTGGTAAGAAGTTAGGAGGAATTTCTTTTTTATTTTTTTTCAAAGTTCCAACATATGTCAAACCTTTTTTTCTTAGAAGTTTCACCAATTCAATGGAAGAATACCAATTATCAGCAGTGATATTTCGGTTTGTGTTGAACAATGGTCGAGAATGTCTTACGACAGATTGCGTTGGTTTAGACAATTTTTGTTCCTCTTCTGTTAATCCTTTTCCATCAGAGCCTTTACCACAATATATGTAGCTGTTATATAAGTAACCACTTCTAGCATCTGTAAGGCACATCAGTTTTAATCCGTATTTATCGGGTTTGTTGGGCATAAACATTTTAAATTTACTCCTTCCTCGAAAACTAACGAACATTTCATCAACCATTGAGACCAATTGTGTATGTATTTTGACAATTTGTGATGAATTTCTCAAAAAGTTCTGATACAGGAGCTGTTTGGTCAGTTTTTCGACGTTCCTGTCGATCTTCAGGGTTGTCAAAGCGCAGACACACTAAAAGTACAGCAAATCTGTCTTTACTCATCACACATCGAAATAGGTCTCTTCCCGTACCATCGGTGGCAAATATAGTTCGTATACACTCATGGTTGGAATTAAAAACTGCACTATAAATCAGTAAACCAAAAAACGCTCTGAGTTCTGTGCTGTCGGTGTCAACAATTTCACTTCTGCTCCGACGCTTATATTTTTCTCGATTCATTTATTTTCACATTTGTCCAACGAACAATTTGTTCTATCATGTCTGTCTTAAATAATAAATCCCACACTTGTAGAGGATTCGTTTTGTTGCCTAATGCACGAGCTTGAGGTTTTAGTCCAGGAAGCCGTATAACTATATTATGTTTTAGTGTTCTACCACGTGTAGGCACAACCTCTTTTGCCGACCACTTGAATCTGTTTTTACCTATGTAATTTTCATTCTCCATATTATCGTTATCAACATTTTCCACATCACCATCATCTTCTGATAAGTCTGAATTCGTGTCATGTTCACTCTCAATCGCAAAGTTATCATCAACATCATCTTCAGTTTCACTTACATCACTAACACACTCCTCTGCCCATTGCAATACCGTCTCTTCAAAGTCAACATCAGTAGGGCAAACAGTTTTTGAAGAATTTACTTTTCTAGACATTTTTAGGTGGGAAGCAAATACGTGCACGCTTAACCGCAGCTACACTCGTACTGACGTGTCGTCTACCGGACGACGTTCAACTTTCAGTTTCAAGTTACTTCGGTACTATTCGGTAAAATTTTTTCAGGCGTGCTGTATATCTTTGTTAACCTTTCATTTGAGAGTACACTAATATTGGGATTAGAATTCTGTTAAATAAAAAAGATATCGAAAACTATAAAATAGCGGTAGTCTGTCGGACGACATGTCAGTAGTTAAGGGTTAATAAGAAGCCTTTCAGGCCATACAGCCCTTTGAAAGAAGGGTGTCGTTGCTTGCTATCACCTACAACCGCCATTTTGAATCTAAATCGTTTGAAAAAATTCACAATACTACCTGAAAACGTGTACAACAAAGCCTTTCTGTTCCTGACACTAAATTTTGTATCAATTTTTCCTTGAAAATTCCCGAAAATCACCTTTTTTCCAACCTCTACAGTGGTGTTACCCCTTAAATGCTATTTTAATATTTATTTTCTATTTTTTCTAAAATAATAAATTATTTGTTTCTATAAAGGGTGGATCGTGAATATGTACATATATCTTAAACAGCAATACAGGTCACTGTGTGCATTTACAACTCACATAATTCGTCTATTCTGAATGGAAGATCAATTGTGCAGCATTGCCCGTGTTACACGAATTCTTACCCTTTTGGACGAATCGAATGGTATAGAAAAAAAAGTTTTATTGTTGTTAAATAATTAAAATTGACAATTAAAAAATTAAACTTGTTATAACTTTTTTTTTTATCAAAAATAAAAAATATATTTCTCTAAAAAGAAATTATATGTATTGAAGAAAAAACTTTTAAAATTAATTCATGTTTCTAATGATTTTTTAAAATTTCTCATTTCATTCATTAACTTCTAGCCTCTGTTAAATTAAGACCCTGGCCGGAGGTTGAGAAAAATTACTGTAGCTGATTATTATTACACATCTCAAACTTATATAAAAAATTCAGGCAAGTTGACCAAAATTGCTATTTAAAGGCCCATTTAATTGGACTAATTTGCGTTTTGTCACATCTAGCTTATAAGATATATATGAAAAGTTCAATCACTCGATGACCTTCAAGATGAGCTTTGTGGTAAACAAATAATGTTTTGAAAATCATTTTTCATAAGTTAGAGGCGTTTTATTTTATCAAAACATATTTGTATAAATCAAAATACATATTTTCATTTTTAAATTAATATTTGTCATTGTATATTACTGTAATAGTCAGAAGTAATTTTTATTTAAAACACATTTGTAGAAAATCAAAATATTCGTTACTTGTGTGTTACAATCAATTTTTTAAATTAATTCTTAATATGTTATAGTTGGATATTATGCATTTACTACATAAGTATTTCAGCTGCAAGTTTCATGTTCTAAATTATTTACTTAAGAGTCAGAGATGTGTACATATGGATGGGAAGATTAGTTTGAAAGATTGTTGACTAAATGCCTTTTTAGCTACTAGCTCTTTTTTCAACAAGCGTTTATTTGTTAAATTAAATTCTGCTGAAATTAATTTTTCAATCATTTAGGTTATTATACCTAGTAGATTCTTAAAATCAGTTACTATTTTTTTAATCTAGATTCCATTACAATTAGATTTAACCTCTAGTATGAAAGTAAAAGACAGGTCTTTTTTTCAATAATTTTCTTGACACATTACTTGGCAAACTTGCAATGCATACACACAAATGATTATCTTCCATGTTACCAAAATGTAAATGTGAATGAGCGGATGCAAAAAAAGTTGATATTCAAAAATATTTGTAATATTGAAAAATTATCTTCACTGGACTCATTTACATCATCAATTATACCCGCAGTTTACTATAGAAATGAAATTTATAAAGTTTGTGTCAATCAATATAATTAAGAGGTCTCTATAGCAAATGGCAACCAGCAATACATTTTTATAGATTTTATTACACAATTTGTCTAAATAAGAATTAATGCGCAAATAACAGACTTTCCTCCCTTCTAACGTAGATTTTCTATAAAATGGAGTTAGTTTGGAACTCGAATTATTTTTTGTTGTAAAGAAATTTGTAATTTGCCGCTTTTGAACAAGAGGTATTGTAAATTACAAATTTCTTTACACCAAAAACTAGTTTGAGTTTCAAACTAACTCCATTTTATAGAAAAGCTGCGTTAGAATGGTGGAAAGTCTGTTATTTGTGCATTAATTAATATTTAGACAAACTGTGTAATAAAATCTATAAAAATATATTGCTGGTTGCCTATTTGCTATAGAGCCCTTTTAATAAAAAGTAAATTGCTAAATGAAAATTTTTTATTAAACCGTAACTTCCTCAAAGTTGTAATTATCATATTTATTATGATTTTTTAGACATTTTCTTATCAATTTCTTATCCAAAATTTAATACAGCCATGTTATTGTACACCCATCAATTCCTCCGCTATATGTCTAGAGATATGTATTCTTATTCAAATTGGTATTTAAAACATAAAAATGTAATAGATTGTAGTATATTTTCACTTGTTTCAATATTTTATTATTTCACATCGTTTAACTTCTTGTAATGTCGAAATACAATTTCTTAAAAAATTGAGAACAAAAAAATTACCTAAAATTTGCAATGTTGAGGAAGTTATAGTTTTGAAATAATGGGTCTATTTGATTTTTTTTTTAATTTCATTATATTTTTACTTATGTTAGGAAGCTGGGTGTGTAGAGCTTATTATGGATTATGAGAAAAATTGCCTAATTTGTACAATTAATATACATATAAATATTTTTACCTCATATTTTTGTTGGAGATGGCTTGACTTAAAGCCTCATCTGGAGTCAAAATCCTTTTAGGTTGTGAATCTAGCAGAAATGCTACAGGTTTGTAATTGGGTGTTATTTCTGGCAACAAACTAGATATGTTAATCGGCAACAGTTCTGGTGGTTGTTCCTTCAAAAGACTAGGAACCTGCGAATAGTACTTACTTTAATAATCCAATTGTTGGTAAGGATCATTTTGTAGCTACAGAACCTTCATAAATGTGATTACAAGTCACGTGACGAGTAATTTTGATTAGAACAGTAATGTTATTTCCTTCACGTTGGCAAGCAAATTTTGGTAAAACAAAAAATGATTACAATAGTCATTGTTCATTGTAAACGAATCATTAATATTGGTGACGTCGAGTTTGGGAATTTTCATTCATTGTTGGGTTGCCTATGCTCGGCAGTAACATCACTTTAAACATTAAAGTGACGAACGACGTTAGCTGTTGCATTAGGTGTTGCGAGTATAATTCAATGCCGGTAGGAGCATATAGTTCGCGGAGTAGTTGTTTCTCGCAACACTGACAATTAAAACATTGTCTTCGCCCTCTGTGGGTGGCAGTCGTGCAACAAGTATCTGCAATATAGCAGGTCGCTTCCTACTATAGCCATTTGAATGTCACTCACTCAATCACTTTAAACAGTTATGAAGGTTATGTAGAAGTGTGAATTACTTTTGAGGGATTTACAATAGATGGCGTAACTTATGTTATATCGCATCAGATACAACTACATGTCAAAGCTCTGTCATTAGGCTTTACTTTTTTTTATGTGTCATTTTGAACTATAAACAACATGTTTCTCATCTCCGAATCGATGTCAAATTATAAGTCAACAAAACACCATCTACAGGAAGGTATACATTTCCTGTTTAATTGAAAGAAAAATGCTGCTGGAAACTTACGGAGAACATATTTCAACGATAAAAATGAGTGAGTATTGGTTTTTTACATTTTAGAAGTGGTGATTTCAATATAGTTGACAAAGAACGCCTTGGTCATTCAAAAAAGTTCGAAGATAAAGAATTAGAAGCATCACTAGACCAAGATGAACTTACTGAATCATTGAATGTTGAATGCACAACAGTTTCCGAACATTTAAATGCACTGCGTATGATTCAAAAATAAGGAAATTGAGCGGCATACGAATTGAAGCCGAGAGATGCTGAATGGCAATTTTTCACATCTGAAAATTGATACACTATGATAATTCTAAGCATAGAAAATCGTGAGGTTTGCTTGGTTATGCATGAACATTGACGGCAGCATGGTCCGAAGCTCATGCCCTGTATTTGCAGGCACCAGCCTGGTATCGTGTACTATGAGCTGCTTCAACTGAAATAAATCATCACTGGTGAAAGCTGCCGAATACAATTGATGAGTTTCAGCATTGCACTTAAGGAAAAACGGCTGCAATTCGACACAGCTCGACCACGTTGCTCATAAAATCAAAAAATACTTAGAAATGCTGAAATGGGATGTTTTACCCCAGCCATCATATTCACCAGATATTGCTCCATTGGATTACTTATGGGAAAAAGTAATATCTAGAAATTGATAAATAATAATGTACACAATTTTTCATAATAAAGCCTTGAATTTACAAAAAAAAAAAAAACATCAAAATTAATTCAGTCCTGGTACTTACGTATTTCTCTTCTGCAACTTCAGCTTTTTCTATCTTTTCCAACTTGACAGAAGTGGAGCTGGATGTACTTTTACTATGTTTTTCCGGATTTGGTAATGACGTAGATTTCTTTTTGCTACTGCTCGCGCCTTTGCTGTAAACCATAGGTCCGCACATACCTAAAGCCTCCGCAAAACTAGCTCCAGATTCCGAGTCGATACCGTGTACGATTTTCGTGGTGTGCACAGCTTCTACTTTCGCCTTGCTGTTCTTGTCACTAGTGGATTTATGTTTAGAACTCGTACTTTTACTGCTCTCTTTGTTCTTGCTAGATGATGTAGATGTCTTTTCTTTCTTCGTATCTCTTTCATCCTTGGAATTTTTGTCTTTTCCTTCGTGTTGCCTCGACTCATCTCTTCTGTGGCCATGTTTATCTTTGGATCTCTCTCTGTCCCGATCTTTCTTGTCTTTCTTTTCATGCTTCCCAGAATGCGATTTAGATTCCTTCAGTCCATGCAATTCTTTTTCCTGTTTTGATCTCGATTTTTCTTGTACTTCCGTCTCGGAATCAAGACTGCTTTTTTTATGTTTTGAGCTTGATCCACTTTCTTCATTGTTTATCTCTTTTTTGGAATCACTCTCAAATCTAGAGGAAGATTTCAATTTTAATGATGAATTATCATGGGATTTTTCAGTCTTCTCTTTTGATTTTGATTTGCTCAAGTTCTCTTCATGCCTATCAGACTTAGAATTCTTTGATTTGTGTTTTTTTCTTTTATCTTCAGACTCTTTTCTTGAACTGTGTCCCCTATCTTCATCTTTGTCATCGTCGGAATCACTTCTGTGTCTTGTGTCAGATTTGCTGTACTTCTTTTCATAATTTTCTTCCGATTCAGAGCTGGAACTACTATAATGTTTTCTTTTTGAACTGTGACTTTTGCTGCTGCTTTCATGTTCATATTTATGCATTTTACTAGACTTTTCTTTGTCCCTATGGTCTTTTTTATTATGAGACAATTTATCTACATCCCTTTTCTGTTTATCACAATTTTCTTCATCGGAATTACTTCTATGGCTTTTTGAATGAGATTTACTATGTTTCTTCTCATAATAGTCTTCTTCAGGCTCCGAACTACTACTATGGTGCTTTCTCTTGGAGCTATGTCTTTCAGTGCCGTTATTGTTATCATACTTATCATACTTATGCTTCTTTTTGGATATATCTTCCTCAATGTCTTTTTTCTCATAAAATCTACTACTGCCATTGTTACTTGCATTTTTCTTTTGCTTTTCATTATTCATTTCTTCATCACTTGATATGTCCTCTTCGTCAGATTCATTTTTTTGTTTGCTTGAATGAGATTTGCCTTCGTAATTTTCTTCTTCTTCGGATTCAGAACTGCTATCACTATGATGTCTAGTCTCTGAACCACGCATTTCACTACTGTTATCACGGTCATATTTATGTTTTTTAGAGTCCTTATCTTTTTTATCAAGAGAAGTATTTTTATTACTATTAGAATGTTTGTCCAACTTATTTCTTTCTTTCTCACTGTTTCTCACGTCATTACCTGATCTGTGACTAGAACTTCTTTCTCTTTCTTTATGTTTGGTATCGGTATAACTATTTTCCTTTTCATCGTTTCTGTTATTGGCAGATTCATTTTTATGAAGGTTCACATCAGGTGATGCTAGAAAACAAAAGTAATACACATACATAAGAGAAAATACCTAATATTATGTTACATTATAGTACTTAAAAGTTAATAATATCTATATTTTATGAAAAAATAAACAAACGGCTAATATTATGCTCAACATACATTTTTATGTGTATTTTCATATAATTAAATGCATCACTAATACTATCCTGTTAACTGATATCTAAGGGACAATGATTTTAATAAAAGATGGATAGTTAGTCCTACACATATAAGAAACTGTTTACGTAATTTACTACACGGAATAATTTAAATTTTTACCGGTATTAGTCACTTCTTTTTTCACATCCTCCTGTACCACCATTTCCTTCCATCGCGTTACGAGAGCCTTCGCTGCATCCCCAACTTCTCCCCCAAGCTTGCGCAATGCGTTCACTGTTCTCCCAATCCCGGTATCTTCCAAATGTGATGTTGCAATAGGTAACTTTTTTAATTTTTTAATAACACTGAGTAACTAAAAATTAGTACATGTATTCAAAGTATAACCTTGTCAATTTGCAACTTCCTACCTTGTAGTTATTTCCAATAGAGGAATACTTATCTAAACTGTCTTGATAATATCGTATAGATTTCAATAATTCTTCATTATTGGCACCCATTCTTCAGTATGATATAAGATAAAATTTAACAGCTGGGGTAGCTGTTCTTAGCTAATTCTCTTACCGAATTTCCTACTAATTTCTTTAAGTATTATAACCAAGCATTTAACCAATTTTAAAGCAAATTAACATTGCAAATTTTTAAATAAGTATAAAGTAGGATTATAATTCTTCAACACTATCTAGAAAGTAAAAATACCACAAATATAATCGCAATATTTTTAATCAGCTGGACATACCAATGCTGGCAAACTGGGAGACACAAAACTCAGTCACACACATAGATTAAATACAGACAGAACAGAAATCACACACTTATGTCAGCGGCTAACTCAAAACTCACCCGTCGTGGCAGCACTAGCGAACTGGCATATGGTCATGGATTATGAAACACAATAATAGAATACCACAGTAAACTGCTTTAGATTGCATTATTTTACTATCTATTTATATATAACTAATAGCCGTTTGCACCGATAAAATATAAGCTCGTTTTTGAAATAAGCCAATCTTAAATGGAAAACAGAATTGTACCGTTTGATCAATTTATTTTAAACCGCCAGAATTGAAATTGCATCAAATATAAACCTCGCTTAAGAATTAGATGGAGGCTGAGCGCGCGGCCCGACGCGTCGACAGAGAGCCAGACAATGACATAATCCCCTCCGCAACTCCTGACGAACTAAGACTGACAATACGCAGACTTAAAAATAGAAAAGCCCCTGAACCCGACAGTATACATAACACGATACTTAAACGACTACCACACAAGGGCCTCATGGCCCTACTAAACATAACAAACGCGACACTCAGACTAAGACACTTCCCTACCCGCTGGAAAACAGCAAACATAATCCTTATCCCAAAACCCAACAAAGATCACACCATCCCATCCAACTACCGGCCCATTAGCCTGCTCCCGGCTATGAGCAAAGTGGTAGAAAAAATTATCCTAACCCGTCTAAGAACCCACTCCCAAGAACTGCAAGTCATTCCAGACGAGCAGTTCGCCTTCCGACCCAATCACTCCACTGAACTCCAAATCCTTCGCCTTACCGAGCACATCACGGCGGCCTTCAACAGGGGACAGTACACTGGTGCTGTCTTCCTGGACGTCGCAAAGGCCTTCGATACGGTTTGGCATGAAGGCCTACTGATGAAAATGCTCACCAACCAATATCCCATATCCTTTACCAAACTCATAAAATCCTACCTACACCACCGAAAATTCCGCATCCAAATCCAAGATTCCCTTTCCACCACCCGTCCCATGGAGGCCGGTGTCCCCCAGGGCACCGTCCTGTCCCCACAC